GCGTCTGCGCGTTGTTGAGCGTCAGCTTCTGTAGCGTGAACATCCGCACGTGAATCGTCGCATCCGCATCTTCGTCTGGGCCAGCTCCAGCCCCCTTGCCTCGGGCCCGTTTGAGCTGCCATCCTCCGCGCCGCTGCGCGCCTGGCGCGGCCGCTCCTGCCGCCCCTGTAGGCCTATCATCCACGACGTGTTCAGGCGGCCCTGCTGCGCGCTGCTTGACGTGATCAAGATGTGAGGGAAGCTCTGAGGCGTTGTGGCTGCACAGAGCACGCTGATAGTTCGGTGCCTCTGTCGGCACAAACTCGAACGAAACGGCTCTCGTCGGACATAGCATGGGGCTCGCTCGTGACATGGTCCAAACGTGCCTGACGCAACACGCCCTGGATGCAAAAACCCTTCGGCGCCATGGGCACACGTTCGTCGTCGTCAACATAAAGTAAAGCCCCCTCAGTTTGCGCGTCTTGTTCAGGTGGTCCGTCAGGGCCCCCATCGTCGTGAGCACGCAAATCTCCTTCAGGTGTTTCATGTGTGCAAACGTACTCGTGCATGCCCTCCTCCCCATCCACATACTCGATCCCCTCGTGCGCCCCCTCCTTCTCCTCCGCCTCGTAGTGCCTGTCAAGCAAGTGCCTGATATGTTCAGGGCGTTTCCCGTGGAACACCTTTCGAAACCCCTCTTTTGTGAGGAAATCCAAAAGCCCCCCTTCTCGAGTTCCACGCCTGTGCAAACTGAGAAGATGGGTCGATCTTCGCGAAAATCGCAAGGTCGTTGTGAACCTGCTTGGCCCAAGGGGTGCTAAACTCGTTGAGGTCTCCGACTGGCCCCAAGCGCGGCCTGTTTACTGCGAGGTCCATCCGTGTGCTTCCGAAGATGCCTGCCCAGACCTGGGGGTTCTTCTGTGGGTGCCAAGACATTCTCTGAGACCACCTGGTCCTCTGAATGCGGAGCTCCACTGCGACTCGCGACAGCTTGTGGTGCGCGAGCACCTGCGCATGCTTCTCACCTCGGGCCTTGCCATCTATCTCGGCTGTCGCCCCTCGGCTGAGCACGCGCAGGTATCTGGCGAATGCCGCGACGAGCTTGTCTGCGAAGCTGCGTGGAAGCACAAAACTTGTGAGTCCTGACAGACCCGCGCTCTGCACATATGCAATGTCAAGAAGCCGTGGCATGCGAGGTGGCAATGGTTCTGACTAAATCTGCCCCATCGGTCTCCACCCCGCCCCCGCTGCCCTAATGCGTCCTCGGAGCTCGGCACGCAGGCTGCCGTCGAAAGTGAGCGCGGGTCCTAATACACGTGCTTCTCTAACTATGCTGCCCACGACCGTTCTAGAAGCTGCCGAGGTGTTCACTGCTGCAAATGACCCTTCCCGAGGACATTCGTGATGTGATTTGTTTTGCGTTCGTTCAGCGTGTGCCCCGTCTCCCCGATGCATGTGCTCAGCTTGCTTGTTGTGTTTAGCTGCAACTCCATGGCTCTCGGTGACGCGTCGTGTGCATGTATATGTACCCTGGATATGTCGTCTACATGCAGCCCGATCCCTAAGTCCTCCACCTGCTCGACTACTCCCACTCCGTCTTCCTCCTTCAGCACGCTGTCGCATTGCAGCCACGTGTATGTGTGATCATGCGCAGCCAGTTGCTCATTCCATTTTTTGACTTGCGGCGCATCTACTGAAATAAAATCCCCAGCGGCCACTGCATGCCCCATTGTAGTTTTGCAAGTTTCATGTCTAGGTTGCCGTCGATCCCGTCCGCGTGCACGACTAGATTATTGATCGCTTGCTTAGCCAGCTCGAGAGTGTGCTCGTGGTGCTGCGCGCAATGTAGTGTCCTCAAGTGCCCTCTGTCTGCGCCGGCGAACGCATTCGCGCCGTCGAAGTTGCTCATGGTGTGGCTCAGCTTCAAATCCCTACATCTCCATGTCGCACTGCTCAATGCTAATATAGCTCCCTCTCGTCGTCGCCCTGGGACCCCTCCATGTGCGAATGCGGGATGCTTTGGCGAGGCCCTGACTCTCTGAGCCAACTGGCCGAACCAACCCATGCTGCAAGAATCGCAACACTGTAAAAGTCTGCTTCCCTTGGTACCGAGCTCTCCGTTATCCTTGCTCTGTGCGAACATCTGCGATCGAGGGAAGCTGAGCGGCACCTGGTCCGTCTCTCCCACCAACGTTATAAACTGCTGGTGTTGGTGAAGAAGTGCCTCTGGCGTGATGTCCACTTCCCCATCATTATCTGTCTGGTCTTCCGCGCTGTGGTATGTCGGGGACAGTAGTTGACACCGCGCCTCTGCATGCGCACCCCACGGTGGAGTAGCTCTCCGCTTGGGAGCCTTCTTCAGATAGCGTATCTGCCCTTCCAGATCAGCTTTGGCGAGTTGAATGGCACGGTCTCGTTCGAGTACATTTGGGAGATGCTGCACGTCATGGGGCGCTTTGCCCCAGTCTATGATGTCTGCACTCGTGCCTCCCTGCTGCGGTGGAAGCTGGAGTCCACGCCTCCACCCTGCAACTGTCATGCTCTGGCGCACCGCGAATCTGCACCTCTTCTTAGGTCCTCTCCCTGTCGATGCCAAGCTGTGTTTGATGTTGTGCATCTGTGCCCACTTGTGCTGTTTCCAAACTTCCGCCAATTCGTGTAACAATGCTTGCCGCGTGTCCGCCGTCTGCTGTTTTCTAAGATTCAGGAGCGCCCGAGTGATGATGCGCAAGTGCCTCTGGATTTCCTGGAACTGCTCTGGATTCTTTTCGGCCCCCTCGGTTCGCAGTCGTCCTCTTCGCTTGATCAGCTCCATGCGCCCCTTCCTATTCGTCTCGTACTCCTCAGAACGGCGTGGTCCAGGAGGGCATACTTCTGCTAGGGCTCCACGTACTGCACCTCCTATGTGTTCCCACACAACTTGCACGTTGTTGATCTGCCTAGCGCACTGGTATTTCTCGTCGCCCTCAGCCAGCTTCTGCGTAACCGCGTCAAAGAACTCCTTCCTGCTGCACCCCTTGGTCTGCGCGCTCATCAGGCTGTCCCCTGTTGGCAGGCGGGGGGCGCGGGTTTACTTAGTAAACCTTCTTTGCGATACCAATCTCCACACACAGGCGCATGGCCTTCCACTGTCGCACTGGGTTGAAGTTGGAGCGTGCGTCCCAGTTTGATCAACGTGTTCAACTTATGTAGACTGGGAATCACAATCGTAGGGCACCTGATGTGGTCTATATTTGATGTCGCACCTCTCTGAAAATATGATCCAATGTTCCAAAAAGTCGAAGCCACGCTCAAGTGCTGCTCCGTTGCAAACTTCCGAAGCTGCGTCGGTACATGCGCCTCATGTGTTGCCTCCGTCGTGCCAGCATGTTCGTTCGCGACAGTGTAGCATGCACCTACAACGTTTCGCGTTATTCCAAACCCACAACTGAAATCTCCAGCGATGATAGGAAATATGCTGTGACCCTCTTTCTCTATCTTTTGACGAATCCATTGCAAAATTCTGCTTGTTGCCGCCTTGGGTAATGTAGGTTGTGCCCTCCGGAGGAATGCAAACGGGGAATATACATGTTGGCTGTCCATGTACTAGCATCTTGGCTCTGGCGACTCTACCCGTGATGCCTTGTGACCTCGGGGGTTGGGCGGCTTCAGCTCGCTGTACTCCGCGAGCGTACTTGCCCAGAAGAACGGCCAGCTCACAAAACATGTTCACATACTTTGATGGCCTCTACCCAACTTGAATGACTTTGTGAAACGGCAGCTGGCCCTCCTGCGTGCCGTGCTCGATGTCGGTGTGGCGCTGCGTACTTGTGACGACTATGACATCCACGCTCCGACACTGCACACTGATCTCTTCCAGCCCTGTGCAGTCGGCACTCTGGGCATTGTAATAGGTTATTTTTTCCACCATTCGGACGACACCCGTGCGCCCCCCCCACTTCGGCTCTGTCTCGTGCCCTCAGGCCGCCCTCGGCCCGAGACGCGCCATGTTGTTCTCAAAAAACAGATGTGTGGGGAGTGTGGGTGCCGTTGCTGCCTGAAACTTCTTTGAAGCCGACGCGACAGCTGGAGGAGGAGGAGGAGAAGGATAGGGATGATAATGACGATGATGGTGATGCTGATGATGTTCAGGAGGATGAGGATTATGATGAGGATGGAGATGATGATGAGGGTGTTGATGCTGATGCTGATGCTGATGCGTATGATGATGCTGTTGTTGATGCGGGTGCGTATGATGCTGGTGATGCTGATGCTGATGATGCTGATGCTGATGATGACGATGGCCATTCAGCGGACGGTGGTGACGATGATGCTGCTGAAGATGATGCGATGATGTGATGATGTGATGATGTGGTGATGACAGTGATGACGATGGTGATGGTATTGATGATGACGCTGATTATGACGATGTCATTGGTATTAGTGATGAGTATGCTGATGCTGATGCTGCTGCTGCTGCCGATGCTGCTGGCGATGATGGTGATGATGTTGATGTTGATGTTGATGCTGATGCTGATGCTGATGCTGCTGATGCTGATGATCATGATGATGATGATGATGATAATGATGGTGATGGTGATGATGATGATGACGATGATGATGATGATGATGATGATGCTGATTCTGATGATGATGATGATGCTGATGATGATGATGATGATGATACTGATGATGATACTGATGATGTTGCTCATGATGATGATGATGATGATGATGATGATGCTGATGCTGATGATGATGATGATGATGCTGCTGCTGATGATGATGATGATGATGATGATGATGATGATGATGATGATGATGATGATGATGATGATGATGGTGACGGGAGATGGGAAGAGGGGGAGAAGGAGAGGAGCAGGAAGGGAGGTGACGCGGGGCGCTGTCTCTTCAAAACGAGGACCCTACACCACAGGATGGCTGGGCAAAAACGCCCGCCTTGTGCTGAATCAACACGTCCGAGCTCCGGGGAGGAGCCCGGAGGAGGAGCTCCGGGCAGCGTCCGACGCGAGGCCCCCCGCCTTCGCGCGGAGAGCACGTGCCCCGAGGGGTCCCCGAAGGAAACGACGGACATCACCGAGCCCCGCGTGCCGAAGGACGCGGTGGAGGCCCCCGAGGGCGTCGCGGCTTCCTGGCCCGGACACGCCGCGGCGCCCCGCGCGGGCACGAGGGGGGGGGAGTGCAGCTCCTCCAGCTCCTCCTGTAACTCCTCCAACTCCTCCTCCTCCTCCTTCTCCTCCACCTCCTCCTCCTCCTCGTCCGCCTCCTCCACCTCCTCCTTCCCCTCCTGCTGCTTCCCACTCCGACCCGTGGGGGGGGGCACGAGCGCAGGCCCCTGGGGCGGAGGCCTCCCGGGTGGGGTCCGAGCGGGTGCGGTCGCCCCAGACGCTCGCCCCAAAACGTTCGGCAGACGTTCCCCGCAGCAGACGCCTCAAGACGCTCCCCACCTGGGAGGCCCAGGTGGGGTCCGAGTGGGCGCGGCCGCCCCCAAGCGTTCCCCCCCATCGGACGCCAACTTTCGCCCCAAAGCGTTCACCAGACCGCTTGAGGAGCGCTTTGGGGCGGACGCAGCCGTGGCGATGAGGGGATGATATATCGGCATCGGTACAGTCGAGCCTCGGCCAGAAGAGCATCCCTCAAGAACACGAGACCCTCCGTCGGCCAAAACAAACACAGAAAATCCAAGGGTACCCCCCCCAGGAGGCACAAGAACATCCAACAAACACGAAAAACATCAGGGCACCCTCCACGACTCGACCTCGATCGTATACCTCGGCCCTAATGTACCGGTTCCTCCTATGGGACCCAGGATTCATGAGCCAGAAGGCTCCCAGAGGGGGTCGGCCGATCACGACGCATCGCCGATGCATCGGCGACATCGGCGGTGCACCGGCGACGCCGGCGACGCCGGCGTCCGCATTGCCGATGCATCGGCGATGCGGCGCGATCCTCCGACGCCCCCTGCTCTGACACCAGCGGCCCACATCCCTAAACCCTAAACCGAAACCCTAAATTCCCAAGCACCTCGTTGTGCATCTGCCCACCCACCGCGCATCACCATCGCCGTCTACGAGAGACAGGGCTTCTCTGAGATGCTTCAGCTGGTTGCCCGACTGGGTCGTCCTGGTAGCCTAGGGCTACCTAACCCCACGCTTGGGGATCTACGATGCAAAGATAAACCATGCTTGATCCTCGAAGAATACAACACCCTAAACCCGGCGACTTTCGTCTTCGGATGGGGCTCTACATGTCTCCGACACGTAAAAACACGTGTGGGGCGCTCTAAGCGCTTCTCGGCGCACTTGGGAGCGCCTGGGAGCGCTTGGGAGCGCTTGGGAGCGCCTGGGAGCGCCTGGGAGCGCCTGGGAGCGCTTGGGAAGCGCTTGGGAGCGCCTGGGAGGGAGCGCCGGGGAGCGCCTGGGAGCGCCGGGGAGCGCCTGGGAGGAGCGCCTGGGAGCGCCTGGGAGCGCCGGGGAACGCTTGGGAGCGCCTGGGAGCGCGGGAAGCGCCTGGGAGCGCCGGGAATCGCCTGGGAGCGCCGGGGAGCGCTTGGGAGCGCCGGGGAGCGCCTGGGAGCACCTGCGAGCGCCTGGGAGCGCCTGGGGGCGAGCGCCTGGGAGCGCGTGGGAGCGCCTGGGGCGCTTGCGAGCGCATGGGAGCGCCTTGGAGCGCTTGGAGCCATTTGGGAATTTAGGGGCCAGCGGCCCTAAACCCTAAAAGGCTTTAGTTTGGGAGGTCGCCGGCCATGCGGCCGGGGGTGGGAAGATGTTGCAACTCCTGCTCCCTTCGCCAAGCTTGCTCGGGTCGGCTAACCGCCCCCCCAATCAAGCTTGCCGAAGGGGGGGCAGCATTGCCTGGACTGTCGGCCGCTGCGCTAAGAGAAGCCCTAAACCCTAAATCTCTGACCCATATAATTATTAAACCCTAATCCCTTCCAAACCGCTCGCTATGCAACCCGCCCTCCATCCCTTGCAAAAAATATTATTTCCTGATCATGCGATCAGAAAACCATATTTTTAACAACACATTCTGCCCGGCCCCGGTCGCGACCCGGGCTCATCCCTTGCAGAAAATACTATATCCTGATCATGCGATCAGAAAACCATATTTTTTACAATACCAAGTGCCCGGCCCTGGTTCGCGACCCCGCATGTAACCCGGGATTTTATATGGTAAAAAATACTATAACCTTAACATATTGCTCTTGCAAGATGTGTCCATGCTCATATTCCATTGCAAAAAATACGACAAAGTGCGCATGCGCGCGGCGGCCCCGTATGCGTACCGGAGTTTTATATTGTAAAAAAATTATAAACTGAAGATTCTGCTCTTGCGAGATGCGTGCATGGTAATATTCCATTGCAAAAAATTCGACAAAGTGCACTCAAAAATGGAGCCCTCCGTCCCAGAAGGCGCCCAGGAGGTCCCAAAGAGGCCCCAAGAGGCCTCCAAGAGGCCCCAAGATGTCGCCAAGAGGCCCCAGGAGACTCCCAGGAGGCCCAAAAGAAGCCCCAGAAGGCTTCAAACATGTCTCCCAGGCGCCCCCGAACGGCCTCTCAACAGACCCCAAGAGGCCCCCCAAAGAAGCATCTTGACGACGACTCTATTTCGCCCCATCGAGAGACGACCCCCAGGGAACTGCTTCACCATCAAAACTCCCCACGCAACGCGTCCGAACGTCACCCGCCCCCAAGAGCGCAACATGGGCAACGAACGCACAGACAAAAACCAGCGATGCCATATCACGGGCCGGCGGAATGAGCGAAGCGATTCAATATTCAGTTGCAAAAAATTCGACAAAGTGCACAAGCGCGCGGCGGCCGCGCGATCATGGCCAACTCCTGTGGAAATTTCAATGTTTTTCAGCTCTGGTGCTATGCGACAGCCACGCTAGAGGCTGCGGTTACCCAGATGTTGTGGAACTCGCCTTTGTGCTAATCTATGTCATGCTGGCATAGCATACGAGAGGCGTTGCATAGCGAGAGACCCCGACCCGACCCGCTTGTTAGGGTTCACGCGTGTCCCGCACCGACCCGACCCGCCCGTTAGGGTCCGCCCGACCCGACCCGACCCGCCCGTTAGGGTCACGCGTAACATGCACCCGACCCGCCCGCTAGACCCGATTAGACCCGACCCGACCCGCCCGTTAGGGCTTAGGGTACCCGCCCGTTAGGGTGGCCCGACCCGAGTGGGTAGATGCGGGGGGGATCGATAGCCACCGCAGGTGAGTGCCTATGCAGGTAGGTATTCTTGGCCTTGCCCTGTTAGACCCTAAACCCTAAACCCTAAACCAACCACAACCACTGGGCCGAGGGCACCGCCCCTGCCGCCCCCCGGGGGGACGCTCCCGACGCTCCCCCGAACCAGTGCAGACAAACAGACCCCCCTTGCAAGACCTGCGCACGGCGCCCGCTTTTTCGAGCTCCGAGCGCGCCAATCATCCACGCTGGGGGGTCGAGGTTGGGGGTGGGCGCCAGGGGCGCGGCTCCCTAAACCAGGCTGTGGCAATTCCCCAATCAAAGCTTGCACTGAAGGGGTCCTAGCGGAGATCGAACGATCTGGCGAAAATTCCGGCCAATTTCGGTAGGCGGCCAGCTTCCCTGGTTCCTCGTTCCGGGTTCCTGATTTCCTGGTTGCTGGTTCCGGACAGATTTCGGTGGGCGGCGAGGTTGCCAGGTTTTCGGGTTCCCGGATTCTTGGTCGATCTCCTGATCGATCGGTCTCACCATCGATCTCGCTACCCACATCTTTATTAATATCACGATCAATCCCACTACAGATCGCACGAGTGATCTCATGATCGATCTCACTATTGATCTCACTGAATCGACTTCACTATCGGTCTCATGATCGACCTTCTTATCGTCCCTACTATCGATCCCAATATCGGTCTCACTATCGATCTCACAATCGATCTCAATATCCATGTCACAAATGTTGAAACCAATACACCTGAGAAATCCAAATCAGTAGACGATTTGAACATGACTACCATGGATCTTGAGATCGATTGTGAGATCGATAATGAGATTGGTAGAGTAATCGATAGTGAGGACGATTGTAAAGTCGATCGTGAGAACGAGAGTGACATCGATTTCATTAGATCGATAGTGAGATCGATCGCGAGATCGCTCATGCGATCTCTAGTGAGATCGCTTGTGAGATCGATAGTGAGATCGATGGTGAGATCGATCGAGAAATGGGTAATGAGATCGATGTTGCAAACCGATCGACGAAAAGATCGACCAGGAACTCGGGAACACGGGAACCTCGACGCGCCCTCCGAAATCGGCCCGGAAACCAGATCCGGGAACCCAGGAACCCGGAACCGGGAACCCAGGAACCCAACGTGCGACCAAAATCGGCGGGACACTTTCGCCAAATCTTTCACCTTCCGCGAGGACCCCTTCAGTGCAAGCACTGATTGGGGAATCAACATCTGATTAGTTAGGGCTTCTCTCTGGTGAAATTCTCTCTCATCCACACATGACATCTTGGCCAAGGAAGTTCGGAGGTGACCCCTGGAAAATCATCGAAAAACGATCAGCAACTTATTATTCAGCCAGATGAAAAAAAAACCATCTGGCCGGATAGCGGTGACTGAACCAAACTAAGCGGGAAGGTTAGAAAGCATCTCACGGAAATTGTTGGTCGTCCCCATGGCGCCGAATAGTGCGCCGAATCGCGCGCAGAGCGGACATGATGCATCTCCCTCACATAGCGCTAGTGGTTGCTGTTTGAGCGCCACTAGGCGCATCTAGGCGCTATTTGGGGCTATGCACTGCTATTGAGGGCTAATTCCGACTATATATATATGTATATACATACACACACATATGTAATACACACCCGTACATACAATCATACATACATACATACATACATACATACATACATACAGACAGTCAGACATGCATGCATGCATGCATGCGTACATACATACATACATATATTTCATCCAAGACTAGAAGAATCTCTCGTGACCCACTTGCACCGGGAAGACGTAAGACCCGAGTTCTGGGGACTCGGGGTGGCCTGGCAGGGCCATCATGAACATGTCGAGGCCGAATCTGAAACTTGACGCGAACTCCCGCTGGAGACATCCCACGAACACCGGGCCGTCAAAATCCGGGACGCGCTCGAATCTACGAACAAAAATGTAGAATGCTTCGAGGATCTACTGACTATTCTACGTATCATCCTTATGGCTTCGACGAAGACTCAATTTTGGCGTAAATCGATTCTACAATCGATCCCCTACTTGAACGTTTCCCCTATTCTAACGGTTGCGTCCGCCCGGAACGGCTTTAACCGCGGATCTATCAACGCCGATCTTGCCATGGCTCGGACGTCCGTTTCCTGTGTGTTGTTCGATGTCCTGCGCTTACTTTTTCGAAAATGATCCAAGATGCTCCTCGACTTGCCGTGAAAAAAACACACGTCCGAGCGATGCTAAGCGATGCTGGCCCTGCCCTCCCAGGAACAACGAATGCTCGGGGCTGGTCGCTGGCACGCCAAGGCGGGCACCGGGCTCCAATGGAGGCCCCAGGACGCCCCGGCCCTGGGGCCCTGTGGCTCTCTCGGGCTTTCAGATCACTGCATGCCGTATGTTCTCGATCGCGCTCGGCATCGACCGAACTTGAGCAGGGACCGACCGTCCCGGCATTCCTGTAGGCCTACCACGCCATGTTCCCAGATCCCAAGAATGTTCCAATAACAAAAACAATACTCTTAAGGCGTCAACAAAATGAGTTAAAACAAAACAGTCTCAACCAGAACTGTTCTAAGACCATCCCGTGCAGACTACAACAAAAATCGTAGAACATTCTTTGGTGGGCCTATAGGCGAGCAGGGACGCTTCGCCCCTACTTGACGATCGGCACTCCAAATCCGACGCTTCCCATCGCAACTGACTCCCATTGAGGACACCGCTGCGGCTGCGGAGGTCTACGAGGTACCCTGGCTCAAGCGTTGTGCCGAGAGGTTAACGCCCTGTCTCCTTCACGTACCACACACTGTTTCCTTGTGTGCCCTCACTGTCAAAGCCATGTTGGAGCCACCTTGAGGCTTGAAGGCCCGTCGCCACCTAAAGGGCGAGAAGGCACAACACGTTGATTCCCCAAAGGTTTGGGGAGGATTTGGCTCTTTCTTGGAGGCGTCCTGGGAAGGCTCCGTGGCAACTCGAGGCCGTCTTCGAGCGGTCTCTGGGCAGCTTGGAGCTTCTTAGAAACTATCTTAAACCATCTTGGCTCCCGGTCCCGCAGAAGCGTGGCCAAGACCGACAGCGGCCGACGCTCGGGGCAACCACTCGAGACAGCTGCGCTGCGGGATGCAAACTGGCAAGTAGCGCCGAGCAGATGACCAATAATGATGCACGGTGTCTTTAGGAGGGCCAGACCGATTCATGCAGACGATCGTGGTACATCTCGCCTGGTACACTCAGCAGGCTTGATCATCCATGATCGCGGTGGACGACAGGAGAAAGGAACACGCCCACCTGGCAACCTGGCAAAGAATCCCGAAGAGGAGGCATTGGCGACGCCGACGACGACGACGAGACCGGGGATAGGGAGGACGATCATGATTAGAGGCGCCTGACGTAGCTGGGTGGCGCGCCCCGGGGGGGAGTGCGAGGGCGCGGGCCCTCTCAGGAGGCTCGGGAATTCTCCGGCCTTCTGACAAATTCTCCGAACCTCCCCCGAAGACACGGGAGACTTCTCAGAAGGCCGGAGGGATTCTGAGAAGCCCCGTTGCCTTCTGAGAAAGCCTTCTCCTTCTAACTGCCCCCCTTCCGCGCGCCACCGAGTACCTTCGTCGGCCCGTGCCGTGCAAGCGTCTACGGCTGGTCACTGCCGTTGCGATCTGCGCGTTGGTGTTTCTGATGCCGCGTGGACTGGTCAACCTCGAACGATCGCGAGTTCCCGACAGCGGAAGATCGTTACGTATCGGCCGAATCTGGGCCGCTGGCGGCGGTTCACCTTGAACACCCGCGCTGGGTTCGATGCTGAGTCAACGGAGCGCAAACCTACCGTACGGTCGAGTGCAGTCATTAGAGGCCTCCTAGATGGTGCCGGAGTAGATGGGGTCGGAGGATCGCGCCGCATCGCCGATACATCGGCGATGCATTAGCGATGCATCGGCGATGCACCAGCGATGTGGGCGATGGATCGGCGACGTCGACGTAAAGCAGATCGGGCTCCACATCGAGCCGCATCGTGAATGCATCGGCAATGCGGCGCGATCCTCCGACCCCATCTGGGAGGCCTAGAGTCACACGGACGGATTGCAAGCTGGGGGCATACTTGGTAGGACCGGGGAAGCAGAGGGCAGGACAATCACGCCAACAACCGAGGGATGCACGGGCCCATTGCTCAGCAGGCTTAATCCCCCAAACAGGAGCCCACAGACGATGTACGCGCCCAGCCGCGCACAGGGATGCGGCCCCCCCGTCCGCGAGGCCAGTTTTGTGCTACGAGGGCTCGCGCAACCCATGCTCTCAAAACCCGCGAGGCATAGTATACAGGTACGTCGCTGCCAGTGTCTTACGCTGTCAGGCGGCTACCCAACTGATGGGAAGACGCTGACGGAGGCGTCACGCCGACGCGGACGACGCGGACGACGCGGACGACGACGACGACGACGACGACGACGACGACGACGACGACGACGACGACGACGACAACGAGAACGACGGGCGCGGCGGCAGCGACGGCGAAGACGGTCGCGGCATCAGCGGCGGCGGCGAGAACGAGGGCTTCGCCGCCAGAGCATGTCCACCAGAGCCACTGCCGCCGCGCTCGTGTTCCGAGGACTCGGGGAACGGGGTATGCGGACATCTGCCCGCCCACGCAGGGCGGGCGGGGTACCCATGAATCCACCACTCCTCGAGATCTCTGGGGCACGGCTCCCAGCACACCCGGCGATCTCGCCCTAGGCCGGGCGCCCGGACCCTCGCGGAGCTTATCTGGCTCGAACACTGCCGCAGAAGATGAGGTCTATGGCTGCGGTCTTGATTGAGGACTAAAATGATTGGCCGATTTTTTCCATCACCGCTGCCAGAGGCAGGAGAGGAAGGAGGAGGAGAAGGAGGAGGAGAAGGAGGAGGAGGAGGACGAGGACCTCCCCATCCTAGGTTTTCCCCCGCCCTACCTATGGTAGTGGCGGTGGAAGATCGGCCCCTCACAAAAAGTCGATGACCATGAATTGTCGGAGCGCCACGCAGACCTCTGATCGGCGCTGGACCCTCCTGGCTGGTGCGCGGAGCGCGGAGCGCGCCGGGGGCGGCGCCAGAGGCGCCGCCAGAGGGTTCCAGCGCCGATCCGAGGAATGCGCGAGAACCTCCGAATGCGTACCCGTCGGTCGGAAGAAGCAGGCAGAAACATGAATCAGGAAGGCGGCGAAAGTAGATTGGGTTCAGGCCCTGCTACACGATAACAAAGCACAGCGAAGTCAGACCGATTCTTGAGGTAGGATATAGATTGGGAGCTGGAAGTAATAATAAAAAACTGACTTCCAACGACCGGCGCGTATGTTTACGCAGTGTGTCGTTCCCAAATGAGTTGTTATCATGTTGCAGGGAGGGTGGCGACGGCGCCGGCGTAATGTTGGCTCGGAGGTGCGCAGGTATGCTCTCCTCCGCCGCGGACGGGCCCGTGGACGGCGAGCGGTTGCCCCGCAGCGCGCTGCTGTCGGAGTCCTTTGGGAGTCCCAACTTCTGTCGCAACGCAAGGGAGCCTCCTATACCACATGTAGGCTCTTCTTGCAAATCGACGCTATCCGACCCTACATCGACACTTGAATAAGGCCCATCAGCGCTAGATCGGCGGCGATCTCATCGATTGCTGGACGCTAAACGACGCCAGTGCAATTCATACGAAAAACAATATATGCACAACCCCCATTCTCAACCTTGCCATCGCTCGGTGAGCGTTTTTTTTTACTCGGCGTTTCGACATTGGGCGGAAGGGGGGGGAAAAGAGGTCTGGCTCCCGACCTCTGCTCAATGCGACTGTTGGCAGCAGTGTGTCCTGTGCGGGAGGGACTCCACCTGCCTCGAAACGGGCGCACAAAAACAGCTAAGATCCACTCCATTGGGGGGGGGAGGGGGGGAGGGTGCGAGGGCCTGCACCGATCGGCAAAACAGTAAAAAACGATCACTTCAAAGACACAGTGTGCAAAATTTCCGCGATTTGCTGGCGGACCCGCCCTTGCCATCGCTCGGACGTCCGTTCAACGCTGCATTGCTTGGTTTCGTGCGCGCGTCGGAACCTAGCGCGCAGGGTGCCCCCCTGAGACCCCCGGAGAGATGCCGACCCTCTGGCCCTCCCGCACGGCCCACAAGTGCGGATCAAAGCAGAAAATCAAAACACCTCGCCTTGCCACCACCAAAAAAATGTATAGCACGGCCGGAATGACAAAAGAAGGCGAGGACTGTGTGTTTCCTGCGTTTGACGGGCGAAGAGCGGTATACAATGAACTTTTCCGCTGTCGGGGACGCCTGTACCTGGGCGGCTGGAAAGTTGATACTTGATACCCTTCCAGTGGCACCGTAGGGGTATCAACTTTCCAGCCGACCAGGGGCAGGCGTCCCCAACGGCGGATAAGTTTATGTTATACCGTTATGCGCCCGCTGATGCGTGTTTATTTTCTCAGGATGGTCCAGGATGCGCAAGAATGGTCAGAATCTTCTGGCACTGGACTCGTCTCAAGTCCGAGCCATGCCAAGCAATACGGACACATCGGGGATCTCTGAGATCTGTCGGTCCTGGAGGATGTTTCAGCCAGGCGCCACGGCCCTCACAGAGCGTTCTGGACCGCTCGGGGAAGATCTATCCCAAACATGCGACGTCCTGATGTTTTCAATACGGGCTCCCTGGAAGTCCCGACCCTCTCCCCAGGACGGGCTTTTCTCACCATGAATTGTTCTCTGACGGCCCCGGGGCACGGCGAGGGCCCCCCGAGGCCCGAAAACGGCCACAAACTTCGCCCCGATGTTGCCAGGACGCGAACAAGTCTGGGTCGAAGCCCCACCCGGGTATCGTTTAACAGACCCCCATCCCCATGAACGTGGCCTGGGCCCCCATGGCCGATAGACCCGCTAGATGGGGATATAGGCCGTTCCCTTCGGCCTTCGAGGTGTGTGTCCCCAAACTGGGGTGCAAGGATGCTGGATGTCTGGATGGGGAGGGGGGTGGGGATGGGGATCGGTTCAACGATACCGACTAGCCCCGCCGAGCCCCCGTCCGATCGCCTCTCGGCCAGGGGCGCGCTGGCGGCCTTGACCGGGAAGAGGCGGGCGGGAAGCAGGGCTGGGGCAGCCGGTCGGCCACCAGGGGCGAGGGCGGAGGGAGGGAGGGCGAGGGATGGAGGAGTAGTGGGGGTCCTAGAGCTTGGCGGCGAGCGAGGGGGGGGCAGTGAGACGGAGAAGGCCCTGTCAGAAGGCGGCGGGACTGCTCAGAAACCCCCGCGCCTTCTGAACACTCATCCGAAAAGGCCGGGGGACTTCCTGATCTTCTGTAAAGGCCCTCTCCTTCTCACTTCCAACCCCTCGCTCGCCGCCGAAGAGCGGTGCGGTGACAAGCACTGCAGTGACCTCTAGATCCCGAGAGACCTCACCGCGCAGTCCGTCACAGCACGGTCTGGGGACCCCTCGGAGGCCCTACTCGCCCGGGACTCCGTCGGAGAACGGCCCAAGTCCCAAAGCCTTGCGGTCCCCGCGAATGCCCCCACGAAGTCACCACGCGGTGTCGCCACCGCACATGGTTTGGGGTCCTGCGTCCTCCCCAGAGGGGTGGGAACTCGACGAAGGCCGGGGGGGAATCTCTCTTCCCACACTCCTGAGCACTTCTGCGCGCCGCCGGAGGGGGACAAGGACGATGAAGAGGGGCGACGATCACCGTCTGCTGCGAACCCTGCCCCTCTGGCGAATGACAGATTGCCTCGCGCAGCTCGCTTGGGGCGGTCTCTGTGGAGGCGTTTCTGGAGATCTCTTCCTCCCTCGCCTCCTCCTTTCTTCCCTCCTCTCCCTTGCTTTAGGTTGGGCGTATCCTCCTACAAGCGGATGCGTGACGCAAAAAAAGTAAGACCCCAAATATTCAACATGTGTGTCAAACAGTAATCAAAAAATAGTCCCCATACTATTTTTTACAACTTGGCACTATTCCACCTGTAGAGGGACATGCCCGACATAACTCTTGCTTGGGCAACACGGTGGGGCGGTCTTGGGGCGTCCTCGGAGCTGTCTTTTGGACCTCTGCTGGTCCCTATTCTCAGCGCTTTTCTCGGACGATCGTGGAAGCGTCTTGCGACGCCTTCCTCATGTTAGGTCGGACTTTGGGCGAACAAAAAATTGTCCAAACACGTCGAACGTACTCCAAACAACAATCAAACATTGTGTCTTGACTTTTCTGACTATTCTTGAATATTCCTCCTATAGAGGGACATGCCCGACTTAATCCTCATCTCTGCTCCCCCCTCTGGCTAATCTGAGCAGCCCGTGCTACCTCGCACCCGTCTCCCGGAGTGGGAGCCCGGTCTGGAACAGCCTGAGGTGTGTTGGCTGTCCGCGTGACTTCACGCAGGTTGGTCACAAGCCTACCTTTGGTCGCCCGACATGGGTACGGAAAAAATGGGTACAATGCCCAACAACAAATGTTGTCCCAAACCAACAGCAGCCGCTGTTGGGCAGGCGGCCTTCTGTCTCAAATAGGCACAGGCCGCGGCGGCGCGGACAGCGAGTCCTGCTCAAAATGACCAGGAACTGCTGTTGGGCATTGTACACATTCATTCCGTACCCATCTCGCTCGTGCCGATTACCTGGAGTTGGCTATCCACTCTGCTCCGTAGCACGACTCCTGTAACCGTTCTGGGCTCACAGCGTTGCCCGAGAGGCCCGTACAACTACTCCATCTCCCTCCTCCTACTCCTACCACCTGGATTGTGAGCAACTCCCCCCACCATCTGGCCTAGCTATACGATTGGAGGTGTATCGTCTGCGAAATCTGGCTTGCCACACACTTCACAGGTTACACGGACAGCGCCTGGTACCCTTTTTCAGTGTGACTCTCGCCTTAGTGCCGCGCACATTCGTCTTTATAGCCTGCAGCAGATGCACGCCTGGATAGCGGGCCATGTTCAACCTGCTTTGCCCAATCTCCAGCTTGCACTGACTGGCGATAATGTCATAAACGAACAAAGACAAAACGAAAGCGTCAGCCAGTTGGGTCGCTTTCAAAATGTGGCTCTCGGCTGATATCCCCACGAAAATATCACTCTGGATACTGACGTTTCCACCAGCTGTGATGGTGAACTCTGGCTCTTTTCAATTTTTTCCCTCACCTGAACTCTCCAAACTCAAAAATTCCACACCTATCCAAATCGGGCATGACATGTCCGGCGGGCGCCTGACAATGCCACCCGCCCTCTGGGCGACAGGTGGTCTAACGATGTCTTGCTCTCCTCCTCCAAAAGCTCCTTCTTCCCCTTCGGGGAGGGGTTTACCCCTCCCCCTGCCCCCTGCCCTGGACCTGGACGGGGGGGTCGCGGGTCGTTAGAGGGTCCCTTTTCGCCCAAGGTGGTGGCTCCAAGAGGGCCTCCGATGCTCCAGGATGGCCTCCAAGATGCCTCGAGACAGCCGAAGATGATTCACGATTGCTTCCGACATGCCTCCAAGAGGCCCCAAGAGGGCCACAAGACGAATCTAGGTACCCTCGGAGACCCCCGGACCTTCCCGAAAACCAAGCTCGTTCAAAAACCTTAGAACAAAAACACTGGTGTTTGCCTTCTCGCCGTTTCGCTTCCGATGCGCTTTTGAGGCCTCAAGATGGCCCTAAGATGGCCGAAGAGAGCTCCAAGAAGTGCCCAAGAGGCCCCCAAGACCAAAGCGCCCAAGATCGACCCCCCAAGAGGGCCCCAAGAGCGTCCCAAGAGGCTATGTTGATGGCCCCAAAGGGGGGACCAAACGTTAGGACCCCCCCTTATGCTCTCCAAGGTGGCCCCAGGAGACGCTCTATGGCTCCCAAGAGGGCTACAAGAAGGCCCCAAGGCGCCCCAAAAGAGCCCCAAGAGAGCCCCAAGACCTTCCAAAGAGCCCCAACAGGGCCCCAAGATACCTCCAAAGAGCTCCAAGAGGACTCCAATCTCCCCCAATACAGACCCGTAGCTCCAAGAAGGTATCCGATGCTCCAAGCTAGCCTCCAAGATGGCTCAACACGCTCTTTCCTCTCCTCTCTTTGCACGCCCTGTTTCACGGTGTGTCTCTTCGTCCCCTTTCCCGTCAGCTCTCATGGGCAGGGCTTCTGAATGGGCTGGTGGGGATTCGCGAAGCGTAAACAGTTGAGGGCGGTCGTCTAAGCATTACATGTCTTGGTGGAAGGGGGGCTTGCTGCCAGCATCGTGCTCTGGCCCCAGCAGCGCGCAAAAGCCTCAGCCACTGCACGGAGTGACCTCGTATCCCCTCGCTTAGCCCAAGTCCGAATGTAATCAAGAAAGTGAGTCCCACCAGCCCTTTGGGCGTGAGTGGTTTAGCGAGCTTTCTCTGTCCTCAACCCCCCAACCCCCCTTCTTCCCCTTCGGGGAGGGGTTTACCCCTCCCCCTACCCCCTCCCCCTGGGTCTGGAGAGGGCGGGCCGCGGGTCGTTGGAGGGGTCTTTTTCGACTCCTGGGAGGGCTAAAAAACGACACCCCTCACGAGGATTCTGCCCCCGACGGGGGGACACCGTTTGGCCCCCCTCCTCTTCTTTAAAGCCAGGATCCTTGATTTTACTACGGTTTGGGCCCCATTTTGGCGTCCTGAGGGGGCCGCGCTCATCTTCCTTCATAGCAAAATCATTGATTTTACGAAGGTTTTGGGCTCATTTTGTCCTTCTCAGGGGGCAGCTCTCCTTTGCGCTTCTGCGGAGGTCGCAAGAGGCCCCAAGATGGCCCCAAGAGGCCCCCAGGAGGCTCCCAAGAGGCCTCCAAGAGGCCCCCCGGAGGCCCCAAAGCGGCCCGACGAGGCCCCCAAGAGGACCCCAAGAGGCCCCCAAGAGGCCCCACCAGGCCCCAAGAGGCCCCCAAGAGGCCCCCAAGAGGCCCCCAAGAGGCCCACGACGCCCCAAGAGGCCCCCAAGAGGCCCCCAAGAGGCCCCCAAGAGGCCCCCAAGAGGCCACACGAGGCTCCAAGAGGCCCCCAAGGGGCCCCACGAGGAGCCCGAACGACTCACATCAGGACGAGGGGCCCGAACGACTCACACCACGAAGAGCCCGAACGACTCACACCACAAGGAGGGGCCCGAACGACTCACACCAGGACGAGGCGCCCGAACGACTCACACCACGAGGAGCCCGAAGGACTCACACCACGACGCGGGCCCCGAACGACTCACACCACGAGGAGCCCGAACGAGTCACACCAGGAGGAGGGGCCCGAACGACTCACACCAGGACGAGGGGCCCGAACAACTCACACCACGAGAAGCCCGAACGACTCACACCAGGACGAAGAGCCCGAACGACTCACACCACGAAGAGCCCGAACGACTCACACCAGGAAGAAGGGCCCGAACGACTCACACCAGGACGAGAAACCCCAAACGACTCAAACCACGAGGAGCGCTTTCTCTCCCTCCTCCTTCGCCTCGTCCTTCTCCCGCTCCCCCCACAAGGAGGATGTACAAGGAGGCGGGAGGAAGGAGGAACAGGGGAGATATGCGGGGCCCAGCGGACACACGCCTGAAAAACACGACTGTCGGCATGCTTCGCGAGAGTTGCTGCTGTGAGATGGGCTGGTGGGGATACGCGAAGCGTAAAGAATTTGGGGGTTCTTGAGCTGGGATCATGTTGCCCCCATCGTACTCAAGGACCACATCCCGGGAAAAAAATCGAGCACCCGGAAAAGTGTCGAAAGAGTGTCGAAACAGTGTCGGACGAGTGTCTCCCAGTGCCCGACACGTGAAAACCCTCGGGTTTCGATTCTTTTTTTCTGGTGCTCGAAATTCTTTCCGGTGAACAAAACTATAGTAGGTTAGAACATCATATAAGGCTGGGAGCACAGGCGCAGAGGAAGACACGGACTGGATGCCCGCGGGCGCCCCCGGTCCTCGGGGGTGGTATCCTCCTCGCCGCCGCCATGCCTGCGGTGCTCGCGGAGTCTTCTCGGACACGGGGCGGGCGCAGGGGATGGGAGGCTCAGGAGGCAACTGCTGGGAAGTGTTTTCGTCGGAAGGACAAGGCAGATTGAGCCCCATTGAGGGGCTGTTGTGCCAAATTGGACCGCGGACTAAGTGGGAGCGGCCTGGATCAAGTGGGATTAAGCCGGATTGGGCTGGATTCGGCCGAATGAAGCCGAATGTCGGACCAGGGCAGAGTCTGAATTTGACCTCCCAGGAGTTGCATCCGAGAGGGCGGTGCTAGCGGGAGGGATGGCAAGGGAGGAAGAAAGGAGCGTGCCCGAGTGCCTGGAGCGAAAGAGGCGAGGAGGCCTGCAAGCAGGTGTCTGCTTCTCGACAAACGCCACTTCAAGCCCGGTGCCACAGAGCGGGCATGGCCTCCAAATCTTTGTTGACCAGCGGGCGCAGGAGAAGCCAGACGCCGGTCGAGCAACGAGAGGGGTACTCCTGAAGCGAATTGGGCACTAAAACATCCCCTCCGAGCGCGCCAGGTCAGAGAGCTCGGGCGCAGGTTCCACCACCCGGGGGCTGCAGGCGCCAAGTAGCCGATCGGGGGCCGAGGCGGAGGGTCTCTGGGGAAATCAACAACAGGTACCCACACCGCTACTCCCCGGACCTCTCCAGGGATGCGTGCTGACCAAAAATTCGAAGCGAATCCAACGGTGGTCAAGAGGGCATCCCAGGAGGCCCAAACAAGGGAAAACAAAGCAAGGGTAGCGGTATGGGCAGTTACAGTGGAGACCCATGCCAATACGCACCCTGCTTGCCTCCAGGGTGCCCTGGGTTGCTTGGGTTTCGATGGTTTTGCTGTGGAAAGCGTGACGCTCCCACACCAACAAAAACAATGGACGTCCTGGGGTCTCAGGGTTGGGTTTCTTGTGGAAGGCTTCTTGTGGTCGGGCCCCCACTGTACCTCTTCCCTCCTCTGAGGCTCGAGACCTCCGTAGGGCTCTCCTGGAACCCTGCGTGTGCCCACGGCGGCGGCGGCTCCCGCTGCCCTGGCCGTGAGCACTGCCACCGGACAGACGCCCGAGCTCCAGCGGGGAGGAGGGCCTCGAAGCCTCGGCTCGTAGGAGTTGTCTGCCCTGTTATCGGCGGAGGCCAGCGGAGGGCGACGGAAGGACGGCGGAAGTCCGCGGAAGGAAGACGAGGCCGCCAACGCCGGCAAAAAAGCTGGCGGAAGTACGAAAGAAGGCGCGGTCCTTACAGTGGGGGCCAGACCACAAGAAACCTTCCACAAGAAACCCAGCCCTGAGACCCCAGGACGTCCATTGATTTTTGGTGTGGGAACGACACGCTTTCCACAGCAAAACCATCAAAACCCAAGGAACCCAGGGCACCCTGCAGGCAAGCAGGGTGTGTATTGGCATGGGCCTCCACTGTAGGGGCAGGGGGGAAGGCTTCTTGGAAGGATGCTGCTTCTTAGAAGGCGCGGGCCTTACATCTAGGCCTCCCCCTCTCCCCATTACCCTCCAAGTGCGCGTGGCTGGACAACGTGAGGCCGCCAACGCCGGCGGAAGCCAGCGGCAACAAACAAGTGCCCCAACAAGCCCAAGCGAAGATAACATCTGTGGGTTCAAGGTTTTTGGAATATACAGTAGGAGCTCGACCACATGAGACCTTCCACAAGGAACCCAACATTGGAACCCCAGGGCGTCCATTGATTTTTGTTGTGGGCATGCCACGCTCTCCACAGCACAACCATGGAGGCCCGAGAAACACCCAGGGCACTCTGGAGGCAAACGGGGTGTTTCTTGGCATGGGTTCCCACTGCATGACAGGAGGGTCGCGGGCGAACGCGCCCCCCGGACGAGCAAGATCACCCCCGAGCGTGCGCGCGAAGGGGTCAGACCCGCGCTGGGCCCCCGCGACGGGAGCAGGCGGCCCCCAGGGTTGGAGGCGGCCAGGGGGTACAGTCCACAGGCATAGTAAGGATGGGCAACCTTCCCAATGGTACCCTTGCGTCCTCGCCTCCTCGGCCCATCCTTGGCCACTTTCGTTGGCCGCGCCCCGCTCGAAAAGCTTCGAAGTGGGCGTCTAAGGCCCTTGCAAACCCTTGAGATCCGACGTGGAAAAACAAATGCAACATCGTAAACAAATCACGCCCCGAGCCTCAGACCCCAACTTTCTGATCCCTTTTCGAGCCGGATCCATCTGTGAGGGCCCCGTAACACGACGTGGAGGGAACACGCCAGCAGTGAAAAAAATGCGACGCCAGGATCTCAGGGTCACGTGAAGTCTATCTAGAAGGAAAACGGCCGTAAACATAGACTTTTGGCGCTCCGCGCGGATTTCTTGGATGTGGGCTGGACCCCCCTCCCTGGCGCGCGGAGCGGCGGCGACGGAGGCGCCACCAGGGGGGCCCAGCGCGGATCCAAGAACTCCGCGCGGAGCACCAGAAAAGTTGATGTGTATGCCGTTATTTCTTCTTCGAGTCCCAGGATCGCGTGCAATCGATCCATTCCCCAGACCCCCGAAGTCAAAATCGCCTCCCAGAGGTCTGGACCTGGACCCCTCCCAGGACCGGCTTTTCATCCTGAATCATTTGTTGACGGCCCCGGGGCCCGGCGAGGGCCCTCGGAGGCTGAAAATATCGAAAAACCTCCCGTCGTGATTTTTTCACAACGCGAGGGGGTCTGTGTCGCTTTAGAGCCCCGAAGCGGTGCGGTGACAGACCGTGCGTTGATCTCGAAATCCCCCAAGACCTCACCGCACGGTCCGTCAAAGCACGGTTTTGGGACCTCGGATGCCCCAGTCGCCCGAGAAGTCCTCGGAAAACGGCCCGAGTCCCAAAACCGTGCGGTGACCCCGAATCCCCACCGACTCACCATACGGTGTGGAAACCACCCCGTTTGGGGGCCCCTGAGATTTGGACGATTTGGACGCCCGAAATGGGTACGGAAAAGATGGGTACAATGCCCAACAACAAGTGATGTCCCAAACCAACCGCGGCCGCTGCTGGGCAGGCGGCCTTCTGTCTGAAATAGACATAGGCCACGGCGGCGTGGACAGCGAGTCCTGCTCAAAATAATCAGGAACTGCTGTTGGGCACTGTACCCTTTCTTTCCGTACCCATCTCGTTCGTGCCCCATTACCTGGAGTTGGCTCTCCACTCTGCTCCGTAGCACGAATCCTGTAACCGTTCTGGGAACACAGCGTTGCCCGAGAGGCTCGTACAACTACTCCATCTCCCTCCTCCTCCTCCTCCTCCTCCTCCTCCTCCTACCACCTGGATTGTGAACAACTCCCCCCACCACCCGGCGACCAAACCGTACCCGTGTCGGTCGTCCCGACTCGAGTCCCGTGCAGCCCCCCCGCGGGGGCGCGGGCGCGCGCTCGCGCGCGCGCGCACGCACGCCGCGCCTCGCGGAGTTGGGCGGCGCCGTGCGGCCCGGACGCCTCTGGAAGAGGAGGAGGAGGAGGAGGAGGAGGAGGAGGAGGAGGAGCAGGAGGAGGAGGAGGGAGGAGGAGGAGGAGGAGAGGAGGAGGAGGAGGAGGAGGAGGAGGAGGAGAGGGGGGGGGGGGGGAGGGCGGCGCAGGCCGGGGGGGGTCGTCGAAGAGGCGGGCGGGGGGTGGGTGGGTGGGCAGGGGCAGGGGCTCCTCCGCCCCCTCCTCCTCCTCCTCCCCCTCCTCCTCCCGCCGCCCTGCCCTCCCTCCCTCCTCCTCCTCCTCCCTCCGCCCTGCCCTCCCTCCTCCTCCCCTCCTCCTCCCGCCGCCCTGCCCTCCCTCCCTCCCTCCCTCGTGCCTCCGCTCTTCCCTCCTCCTCCCTTCGAGAGATTACCGCGGAGCTCAAGTACCTCCAGAGCAGATATCGCCTGGCGTTCTGGAGGATCTCATGGGTAAGGCCATGCAGCGTCGGCTAGAACTCAATCTGGCGGCTAAATGGCAAGCGACTCACGAGTCGAGAGCTTCTTTCGATTTCATTCGCAGCGCAGTTCGCCCTAAAAAACACCGACTCAACAAGCATCATAAGTTCCTGATTCGCACGTCAGCAGTCGAGGGGCACTGGACAAGAGAGAGAGAGAGAGAGCTAGACTATGTGGGTCTCAGACGGATGGGCTTTGTCAATGCGATGCTCCAGACACGGATCATCACAGGTTGTCCGCTTGCATGAGGCAAGACTTTGTGGCAGCAAGAGCAGAGTCGGAAGTTCCAGCTTCGTTGATCCAAGCAGATGTGGGCAATCCTGATAACAGATGCTACACGCAAGGCTGCTTCGTCTACTCGCACAACGACATTCCACCGCTGGACCCAGGTGTGCATGCGCAGATCGTTACGCTCAGCGGTGATGACATTGATGCTCAGCCTGAAGATCTAGCTGAGCAGCTCATCCAGGGCGATAAGTTAGAATTCGCAGCTGATGGATCTTGTACGAAGCCGCCCCTACTCACTCTTTAGAGAGCTGGATGGGCAGTGGTGCTGATGACCCCGTCGTCCAGTTCACTAGCAGCTGTCATGTATGGAGCAGTTCCTCAGGCCATGCCACAGTCATCAGCGATGGCAGAGTTTTTGAGCATGGCCTTTCTGGTGCAGATTGCAGATATACCTTCGTCGGCATATGCCGATTTCATGGCCGTCGTTCGAGCCGCTCTTAAGTCCAAGCAAGAGCAGGTGCAAGCTAAGTCAATGTACTCGTGCGTGCAATTATTTGGCCACTCGATGCGCGGCTACGATAACATCGACCACGTCCAGGACGTCAAAGCCCACAAGTCAGGCAAACAGTACGCTGCGCTCACGGACGAGGAGAAGCGCGTCACCGATGCAAACGTTGTCGCCGATGCCTTCGCGAAAAAAGCTACGCTGCTGCATCCGTCCGCCTCCCCTGAGTTCCTAGTGAGAGTTGATGAGGCCAGCGCGAATGGTTTGAATTGTGTTACGTTGTGTGCTTTCGTGTTCCCGTGTTTCGAGCAGGAAGAAAGGATTTGCAGGCTCCCTGTTTTTGCTCGGTCCAAAAACACGATGCGAGAAAACTGGCACGATTGGTGTACGACCTCCATCGGCATCCAGTGTAGGAATTGTCTGTGCGTCCTTGAGCCTGGCAGAGACAGACCTCTATTAGGGTGTAAAGGGCTGCCCACGTTTTTGCGTCATTTCAGGCAAAATCCCATGGGCCATCAGTTGGTTGCTGTTCCCCAGGGAAGTTTATCCTCCTGGAGCTGTGCGGGACCAGCCTGCACGGCCCCAGTATTCGTTTGTCTTCTCTGTGGAGGCTGGGCTCAGCAGCGTCGGAGGGAGAAGCTCAGGGCCCCTTGCGTGAAACCTACGACCAAGGGCCGGGAAGTGCTTCGCAATCTCAGGAGGGGAATAGGGCCGCACAAACGTTTGGCCAGGCGAATCGATTTTGTCGCTCCCATCCAGAGGTCGGTCCCTGACGTTGCCCAGCCTGTCTTGATTCCGACCAGCGTTGCTCGTTCGAATCCTGATTATGTCTTGAGCTATGAAGCTCGAATGGCTGCCTTGCACGCGCGAGTCAAGGCGAGGGAGGAGGCTGCCAGATCTGCGGCCCCCGCCCGATAGAGCGGCCCATGGCCGCTCGCCCCGATCATCAAGTGAAGGCGCGAGGTGCTGCTTCTCTCTTGTGCATTGCGATGTAGCAGGTACCAGTCAGGTCATAGAGTCATAAGCTCCTCCTCCTCCTCGTCTTTCCTGCCTCCTCCCGCATCCTTCGACCTGTCCCAATACAATCCTCCCCTCCTCCGCGCGCGCGCTCCTGCACGCGGGTGTGTGGTGTGGAGAGGGCCGGTGGGAAGAGGAGGTGAACGGGAGAGGAGGAAGCAGGAGGAGGCGAAAGGAGAGGAGGGAGGAAGGGGGAGGAGGGCTAGGGGGGAATGTGGAGAGTCGTTGAGGAAGAGGGGAGGAGGAAGGGAAGGGGAGGGAGGTGCGACGGGACGGGAGAGTAAAGATGGGGATGCGACAATCTAGGTGCGCTCGCGCCAAGTCTGGCATCCTACCCCTCCCGCCTGTCCCTTCCCATCTCGCTGAATGTTGTATGTCCACCGACGGGTGTCCTGACAGACCAGGATCCCCGAGGAGACACAATCGTGTGATGCGCAATCATACAAAGGAACTGCGCACACTGGAGGGGGACGAGGAGGTGGAGGTGGCGGATGAGCAGGAGGATGAGCAGGAGACAAAGGAGGATGAGGAAGGAGAGCGAGGATGAGGAACACCAGCAGCAACGAGAACATGAGTAGGATGACGGGGAAGGGAAAACTGGCCAAGGGAAAACGGCCGCGGTTAAAGAACGAAGATGAAGAAACCAGATCCGTGAATGTGGCCCGTGGCCCGCCCTGGGGCGGGAGCGCCATTCTGAACGAGCGAGCAGCGCGCTGGTCCTGAAATGAGGCTAACGTTGCAGCGGGAACATCTTTACGACAAGCAACATGTTAGCCAGTGTGGACCCCGAACAATGAGTTCCTGCACTGTGGCGGGGGAGTTCTGCGGAGTGAGCTCCGCGGGTGTGGCTACGTTGTGAAAGATGTGTGGTGTGAGCTGCGCGGTGCCAGCCGTGCTGTGCAAGCTATGCGATGCGACCTCTGTGGTGTGAGCCGTGCTGCCACAGCTGTGCGGCGTGGGCCGTGCGGCGTCAGCGACCGTGCCTGCCCAAAAGCATGGGGCGCCCACGAGGCGCCCACGGGACGGGCACCGGGCGAGAACCCCGGCGGCTCCACCCGAGGCGCACGACGAGGCGCCCGCGAGGCGCCCTGGCCTCTGGGGCGCCCGCGAGGCGCCCACGAGGCCAGGGCGAGCCCTCGGCGGAGCCACCCGGGGCACGGGGCGCCCGCGAGGCGCCCGGGAGGCGCCCGCGGTGGGTGCACCACGAGGCGCCCCGCGAGCGCCGCGAGGCCGAGCGAAACCTCGGCGGAGGGCACGGGTCGCACGCGCGCGGGCACCGGGCGAGAGCTCGGCGGCGGCCCGCCACACCCGGGGCGCGGGGCGGCCCACGGGCGCCTGCGGCGGCGAGAGCGCAGCAATCCTCAGAGGACCCGTCCGGCGACTTCTGCGAGGTGGCCCGGGTGCGGCGCGCTGTCCCGATCGGAAATTGAGGCGTGGCAGAAGCCAGACGGTGCACTCCGAGGCGCCAGAGCGAGACGACTTGCGGTAGAGGCGGGGACACAAGGAGGCATGGTCAGGGGACGGGGGGGGACTCGGGGAGGAAGAACAATGGAAGGAGGAGGAGGAGGAGGAGGAAGAGGAGGAGGAAGAGAGAATGGAGGAGGAGGGACACGAGGAGGAGGAGGAGTCGCAGGAGGCAAAAGATGAGGAAGGCGAGCTGGAGGGGGGAGCAGTTCCCAGTTTGAGCGATTGTAGACAAAGAGGGGAGGAGGGACGACGGAAGAGCTGTGAGACACTGGTGGAGCGGAGTGGGAGGACCGAGGGAGCAGGCGAGGAGGAGGGAGGCGTGAGGGTGAGGTCGATGAGACTGAGGAGGAAACAGGAGGAAAAACATCGGCTACACGCAAGAGTGACCCTGGGTAAAAGTGACCTTTGGTGCGCGGCTTTTTGGGGGGCCGCGGGGAGACCAAACCTGGGCGCGCAAGCCGCTGCTACCACTTCGTTTTCAGCCATCTGAGGGCCCATCTGTGCCCGCACCAAAGGTCACTCTGGCGAAAGGTCACTTTTACGTCTAGTCGAGAACAGAGGGAGAGCATGGTGGGTCAGGACACCAACCGGGGAGGGGCGTACAGAGGCGAGATTGGCAACGATGCGAATGCCCACGCGTGCTGACAAAAGCAATGGGTAGCACACAACAGCATCGTGTGCGTCCCCTGCTTGGCGACTCGTCAACGTGCAACTGCCGCGATGACGACTAACCCAAATGGAACTAACTGTCATATGTGCTCCAGAGTCTGGCGTCCACGGCCTGTGCCTTCTATGGTCTTCTGGAAGCTGAACCAGAGGATCTGGGACGATGAGGACGTCTTCGTCCTCCGCAAGCATATGAAAATGAACAGAAACGCGAAGCGGTATACACCTCGACAACGTCTGATCGACACACACCAAAGTAATGCTAAATGATACGGGTTGTTCCTCCCGCCGATGCAGACCGTGATCCGCATATCTATGTTGCCCATTAGAACCTCACCAAAAGGAGCCACACATGACATGTATTGCTTAACTTATTCCATGCGTACTATGAATCCCAACCTCGTCTACCAAGCAAGATGGAAGCACGGGGTGACGTGTGCAAGTGGGAGAAAGGGGATGGAAATGCGGCCGACGCCAATTCGCCCATAACGAATTCAAACCCAGCATATCCACATCAAACTCCTGTGCTCAGCCTGAAGCGCGGCACATCGGCACAACCTTCTCATTCCTGCGCCATGACGCGTCAAGAGCGAAGTCCTCTCTATCGGAAAGCATCTTCCTATACCTGACGCGAGCCGACAATTATAGCCAACACATGCAAACGAGAAGCGCAACACAGAACCTCCGTGCAGGTTGCTACACGCTTCCAACGCTGCAGCGCTGCCTGTTCGACCTGACGCTTCCTCCCTCCTCCCCATCCTCCTCCTCCTGCAGCGCTCTAAATCATGACTGCTCAGGCTGCCGCACGCACGCGAACCATCCTCAAGCTCCCATCCTCTTCGAGCATCACACGCGAGGCTGGGAATTGTCAACCATCATACTGCCACTTTCTCCTTCGTCTTCCTCCTCATCCTCCTCCTCTTCCAGCTCCTCCCGGATACCCTCTGCATTCGCCGTCCGTGCCCTGCTTCGTTCTGCGCGCGCGCACTACGGACGCTGGCGCGAGCGAAGAAGGCCTAGACCTGTGGGCAACGTTCCATCCAGAATCGTCTCTTGCCGGTCCCGGGGGCCCGGAGGGCCCAGGACCGTCAAGAAGCGGGATGTCTCGAAAGGGTTTCGGGGCAATTCCAGGTCAGCCCTGAGATTCTAAGGGGGGACTAGCTATAAGACAACAGAACCAATGACACAAACGATTGGCTGGGGCCACAATATTGCACTCAACATCAGCGCAAAAAGTGGCGATTTCCCGACACTTTCTAGCGCGCTACCGAACTCTCCATCACTGCGCACCCGTCTTGGGACCAGGGAGAAGGAGAACGAGAATGAGAACGCATGGAGAGCCAGGGAGGGGGGTCAGGAAGAGGAGGGAGCCAGAGGAAGGAGGGGCAGTAGGGATAGGACCAGGAGGAGAGACAAGAGAATGCTATGGGGGCCCTATTTGTGCGCTCCCGTCCTTTGGGGGCCCTCGTGCAAGGCTTCCAGGACCATCGTGAAGACTGGCGATACCGACCCCGATATGGGTCGCACCCGAGAACGACACACACAGGCACACCAAGCAGGTGTACGGTCGCGTGTCTGATACCTCTTGTAGGCGGCGAGCGAGGGGGGGAAATGGGAGGGAGAAGACCTTCTCAGAAGGCGTCGGGGCTTCTCGGGAGGCCTCTGGCCTTCTGAGAAGTGCTCTGCGTCTTCGGAGAACGCTCAGAAAATCTCTCAGAGGGCCCGAGGGCTTCCGAGCCTTCTGAGAAGGCCTTCTTTTTCTTCTCACTTCCCCCCCTCGCTCGCCGCCGATTTCGGGTCCTCTGGGCTGGGCTGCGGACCTGACATTCGGCCGAGAGTCCTGGCCGAACGGGAGCGGCAACTTTTGCGTGCACGGACTTGTCCAGGGACGGGCGGCATCTCGCCGCTCTACTTGGGAGGCGCAGTATCCTCGGGGACCGTCTCGCGAGGGCTCTTCGACAAGAGCCGCGACGCTCCCCGCTTCAAGGCATCAGACACCTGCGCGAAGGGTGAAGAGTCGTCGTAATCCTCCATCTCTACCGGGGAGGTGGAGAAAAACACACCGATCTTCTCATTTACCTCCTGACAATGCTCCTTCCCGGGCATGAAGTACGTGCATGCAGGAGTGTCCTCGAATGTGTACTTGGATCGCAAGCAGTGCACGGGGTTGGCTGTGAACCAGCTGCTAGCAATGCTCGACGCGCACTCCCGATAAGTGCATGTCTCTGCGTCCGCGCCGACGATGTCCTTGCTGAACGTGGGAACGAAGTGCACCAGAAGGAGAACGTGCACCACGCAGTGTAAAGCAAAGGCGGCAATGCATACTAAGGGCAGAGCATATCCCTCTAAGCAGAAGCCGTGGCCCTGGCAGTTGGCTTTGAAGACCAAGCAAGATGCAATCACACCGACGCACGGTGCGAGCATAATCTGAGAGCACCGATCCACATCCATGCTGGCATAGGTGCAGGCAGGGATGTTCCGAAGCACTTTCCAATGGTCGAAAGCGTATATCAGGAGATGGCAACCTACCAAAGCGAAATATAACTGCCAAGTCCAGCCACCCGGAAAATATAGGACCAACACGGCGAGCACCACGTCAAGCAGGATGTCCGCGTAACGGCCCATGTCCATCGGCATGGCTGCAAGCCACTCCTCCGCAGATCCACCAACAAGCTCAGGGTGGCTCCGCACGAGAAGAACGCCCAACTTCAGGGGCACATATATTGTGACAAACGGTTCGATCAGAAATGGAATGAGCATTGTCGAGGGGAACGCGTAGTCGTAAGTGTTCTCCCCCAATAGCCGCTGCATGGAATACGTTTCAAACTGGTCGGGGAACGAATCTATGTCCGAGAGCTTCTCGCCGTGGTACGTGCGAAAGCCCAGACCCTTGCTGATCTCGAAGACCATGTAGTATGTCGTGACCAGGTCCAGCAGCACGTTGAAGGTGCAGGCAATCGTATACAGGATCATGTAGCACGCCTCACGGTTGTCCCTGTAGTGGAACCCGACCATGTCGGCAACGCGCCCGCAGATCTCGTACATGATCGCGTTCCCGACGACAACAACCATGGAGAAGGCGAAACCTGGTGGGGATCTACCCTCCGCCCACCAGAACAACCAAAGTCAAATGCTCGCTCTCGGGACCTTCCTGGAGCCAATCGCTCAATGCACGCGTCGATGCTGCGTCCAAAGTCCGTCGATTCGAATCGAACTCGAAACGACCTTTCGCATAAGGGGAGAAAAGGGTCCTGACGGAAACGGGTCCTGGACTCTGGTGCCTTCCACCAAGACCACTTGTGTGTCCTGAGTCGACTCCTGACGGCCCCGGGGACCGTGGAGGGCCCCGAGAATCCGAAAACAGCAAAGAGCCTCAGGACCCGTTTCCCTCAAGACCCGCTTCCCCCATGGCGAGCACTTGAACCGAACTAGAATCAAACTGGAGTCGAACAGATCCGTCAGGTAGGCCCCAAGAACTGAGCAGGGACCTACCATCCTGGCACCCCTATAAGCCTACCGCGAAAACAATGTTCTTAGAACATGAACCCGGCGGTGTTGAATCAAGACGGTCTCGGCTAGAAATGATCTGAGTTCATGTCGTGCAGACCACAAGAACTTCTGAGAACATTCCTTGGTGGGCCTATAGTTAGGTCGGGGATGTTCTCCTACAGGCGGGTGTGGCAAGACACATGAAAACAGTCAAACATGCTCACACAGTCAAAAATCATCCAAGACTCGTCCCCTGACTATTGCTTGACTATGTTCGAACATTCCTCCTGTAGAGAGGGACGTGCCCGACTTACGCCTATGGGCGAGCCAGGACGCTTCGCCACTGCTTGAAGGAAGGCCCCCCCCCCCAGTCCAGCGGGCGGCCGCGCTGTCGCGGCGCCCTGCTGCGCGCAGCAGCGCCAACAACCACGGGCCGGGCGCCGACCCGCTGTGGTGGTGGCAGGTGGCACCCGCCCCTCCGACGTTGCACCCAGGGGCGCTGTGGTGCCCCCATCACACCCAAGGACCACATCCCAGAAAAATAACCAAGAATAAACGATAAACCGTTCCCAGACATTTCTGGACCATTCTTGAATATTCCCCTTGTAGAAAGGACAGGCCCGAGGGAGTGCGCCGCTTCCTTGGGCCTCCCGGCCCCTCACGACGGCAGCCACGTACCCACGCCCCCCCTCTGGCCCCAGTTCGGACCGCGCACCGGGCTCCAGGCCATTGTCGATGGCCCCAGACTTCGGTTGTTCCCATCGTACATAAGGACCACATGCCAGAAATAATTTCGAGCATCCTCCTCCTCCTCTTCCTCCTGCTCCTCCTCGCTCACCACGATCACGCCAACATGTAGCAAAACTGATACAATATGGGCCGGCGGAATGAGCGAAGCGATTCAATAATCTCGAGCACCCAGAAAGGCATCGAAACAATGTCGAACGAGTATCGTCTCCCAGGGCCCGACACGTGAAAGCCCTCAAGTTTCAGTACTTTCTTGCTCGAAATTATTTCTGGCAGTCGAGGCTAAAGTAGGTGGGAACATCAGAACCAAAGGGATCACTCGACTCCTTTCTGCGAGGCGTCCTGATCCAAACATCGAAAAACTGCATGAGCAGAAACTCTTGGAGCCCCGCGCGGGCTCCTTGGATCTGCGCTGGGCCTCCGCGGCGGCGGCTCTGGCGCCGCCCCTGGCGCGGTCCGGGCGCCAATTCCAAGAAATCCGATCCAAGAAATCCGCGCAGAGCTTCAAACATCTATGTTTGCAGTCGACCCGTATCATAAGGACGCGCGGTAAGGATGCAAAGGGCCTTGGTAGCCCATGTGAACGTTTTTCGAACGAAGCTGGCCAGCGAAAGCAAGGCTGAAGAGGTACCCTTGGGAAGGCTGCCGATCCTCACTATGCGGGTTGACTGTATGCCGTTTCTTGTTTTTCGATGTTCTTCTTAGGTCGGGCATGTCCTTCTACAGGCGGATAATGGGCGAAACATGCAAGATAGTCAACACTATTCGAAAATAGCAAAAAATGAATAAAAATCGTCCCCTGACTATTCTTTGACTATTTTTGAATATCCCGATCCCAGAAGAGCACCCCGAGAGGGGCAAGAGATGCAGCCCGAGCAAATGTGATAGCACGGCCCTGTGCACCTCCGTGCGGCCAGCCCGTGGCCGTCCCCAAATTGAGGCGAAAGCGCGATTCGGGAACAAAGTATGAGGAAATCTGAGGCGAAACGACTGCCGGACCAGCTGGTCCAGGTCTCCCCAGCCCCGTTTGTGGGACTCCTCTGTGATCCATGCCAGCTCTTTAAGATGCCTCCAGAGAACCGCTGGGAAGGTTAGGTCGGGCGTCTTCTCCTACAGGCGGATTTTTGACAAAATGTAGAGGGCTTCGCCCGACTTAATGTTAAGAAAAAACAACAGACGTCACGTCTCCCCTTGCAACGCCATCTGAGGGAAGGTTCTGCCCACGGGCGGCCATAGACGAAGCCCGGCTCGTTCCCGTTCTCGTAGTTGAAATTGAAGATTGACCACGTGTACGGCCTTGACGTCTGGTCGGGACGCTTGGCCGCGTGATCGGATCACACCTCCTGCTGCACCCCTCTTCCTCGAGAACGGGGGATTGTGGAGTCGCAGGGGTTCAAAAGCGCGCGCGCGAGGCTTTCGCGCTGAGTTCGCGACTGTTTCTGTGCAAACTCTGCTCTGTGTCGTCGTCCTCCTCCTCCTCCTCCTCCTCATCCTCCTCCTCCTCCGCCTCCTCCTCCTCCTCCTCCTCCTCCTCCTCCTCCTCCTCCTCCTCCTCCTCCTCCTCCCTCTCTGTTTTTGTGTTTTCTCCTGGTGTCCCCCCCCCCAAAAAATGATCAAAAAAAGGACTTGAGATTCGCGGATTTTTTGTTGTTTGCGTTTTTATATTGTGTATTATTTTTTTTGTTGGTGGGGGGGGTCGGCGGCGAAACAAAAAGGAACGCGACGTGGCCTCATCTGCCCTCCCCCTAGGATTCCTATTGAACGCCCCCACTAAAAGGATTCATAGTGAAATCCTCGACAGAAGGATTCCGATCGAAAGCCTCCACTGAATGATTCCTCCTGAAATCCTCCACATGTGGATTCCTGCTGAAACCCTCCACTGAATGATTCCTAATGAAATCCTCGAATGGCAATGGCAATGGCAATGGCAATGGCAATGGTAATGGTACTGGTAATGACAGTGATAATGGCAATGGTACTGGCACTCGTAATGGCAACGGTAATGGTAATGGTAGAGGGGTAGCGACTGGCAATGGCAATGACAATGGCAATGGCAACGGTAACGGTAATGGCAATGACAATGGCAATGGGAATGGCAATGACAATGGCAATGGCAATGGTAATGGCCATGGCCATGGTAATGGTAATGGTAAAGGTAATGGTAATGGAAATGGGAATGGGAATGGGAACGGGAACGGGAATGGAAATGGTAGGGGTAGTGGTAATGGCAATGGTCATGGTAATGGAAATGGTACTGGTAACGGTAATGGCAATGGGAATGGGAATTGTCATGGTAATGGCAGCGGTAATGGTAATGATAATGGTAAGGGTAATGGAAATGGTAATGGCAATGGTTATGGTAATGGTAATGGTAATGGTAATGGCAGTGGTAATGGTAGTGGCTAAGGGGCAAGGGCAATGGTAATGACAGAGGAAATGGTAATGGTACTGGTACTGGTAATGGTAACGGTAATGGTAATGGTAACTGGGTGGCGACTGGCAATGGCAATGACAATGACGATGGCAACGGTAATGGGAATGGCAATGGCAGTGGCAATGGGATTGGCAATGGCATTACGACAAAGGTAAAGGGTAAGGTAAAAGGTAAAGGGTAAGGTAAAAGGTAAAGGGTAAGGGTAAGGGTAAAGGTAAAGGTACTGGTAATGGTATTGGTAATGGCAGTGGTGATGGTAATGGAAATGGTAATGGTAATAGTATTGGAAATGGGAATGGTAATGGTTCTGGCAATGGTAATGGTAGTGGCTAATGGCACTGGCAACGGCAATGGTAATGGTAATGACAATGGTAATGGTAATGGTACTGGTACTGGTAATGGTGACGGTAACGGTAATGGTAATGGTAATGGCAATGGTAACGGGGTAGCGACTGGCAATGGCAATGACAATGGCAATGGCAACGGTACCGGTAATGGTAATGGCAATGGCAATGGGAATGGAAATGGCAATGGCAATGGCAATGGTCATGGTCATGGTAATGGTAATGGTAAAGGTAATGGTCATGGTAAAAATCATGGTAATGGTAATGGTAATGGTAATGTGAATGGGGATGGGAATGGGAATTGTAATGGTAATGGGAACCGGAACGGGAATGGAAATGGTAGTGGTAGTGGTAATGGCAATGGTAATGGTAATGGTAAAGGTAATGGTAATGGTACTGGTAACGGTAATGGCAATGGTGATGGGAATGGGAATGGAACTTGTAATGGTAATGGCAACGGCAATGGTAATGGTAAATGGAATGGCAATGGCAATGGTACTGGTAATGCTAATGGTAATGGCAATGGCAATGGTAATGGCTAATGGCAATGGCAATGGTAATGACAATGGTAATGGTAATGGTACGGGTACTGGTAACGGTAATGGTAACGGGGTAGCGACTGGCAGTGGCAATCCAATGGCAATGGCAATGGCAACGGTAATGGCAATGGCAATGGCAGTGGGAATGGCAATGGAAAATTGTAATGGCCATGGTAATGGTAATGGTAATGGTAATGTAAAGGTAAAGGAACATGTGAAGGTAATGGTAATGGTAATGGTAATGTGAATGGGAATAGGAATGGGGAGGGGAATGGGAATGGGAATGGGAATGGAAGTGGTAGTGGTAACGGAAATGGGAACTGTAAGGGTAAGGGTAAAGGTAAAGATAAAGGTAATGGTAATGGTAATGGCAATGGCAATGGTAATGGTAATGGTATTGGGAATGGGAATGGACTGGCAACGGCAATTGTACTGGTACTGGCAATGGCAATGGTAATGGTAATGGGAATGGTAAAGGTAATGGTAATGGTAGTGGTAGTGGTAGCTGTAGTGGTAGTGGCAATGGTAATGGTAATGGTAATGGAGATGGTAATGCTAATGGTAAGGGTAATGATGAGGAGCAACGTGAAAAATCGTAAAAACTCGTCTGGAACCCACAGCGACTCCACAATCCCCCGGCCTCGAGAACGCCTCCTCCTCCTCCTTCCCCTTATCTTCCTCCTCCTCGTCCCCATCATCACATGCTCCTCGTTAGCCTCACTATCCGCACTTATGAACCACTTGCAGAGAAGTCTTCGTAAGAACGAGGAAGGGCTATCAAAACCCGTGTAGAACACTCTGAGCCAAATTCAACCAGATTCAACCGAAGATTGAGCTGGAAAGGTGGCGTAACCCGGTTAAGTGGTGCTAAAACAGCTTCGTTGGCCCACACCGTTCTGATGAAGACACGTCAGACATTGCCACCTTCCCCTCTCCCACACTCTTCTGCCTCGTCGGCGCGTCTGGGCGGCAAGGCAGAGGGGGCGGGCGATCCGAGGCCTTCTGACAAATTTTCGACGTCTCCTCTGAAGGCACGAACGGCTTCTCAGAAGCCCTCCGAAGCGCCGCCGCCTTGTGATGAGGCATGTGCCCCCTCTGGGAGTCGCCGACTGGCTCCTGCCCAAGAGGAGCGGAACGGCCCAGCAGCAAGAAGAGGACGCCAATGGTCAAGACGCCTATCTGACGATCAGCCGGTTCATGATCCCCACGATCCTGCGATCACATGGTCCCTCGACTAGTGAATTTTGTTTGGCTGCTATCTGTTATGTCACAGGCTGGCGCGGCTTGTGTCGTGGTGTGCGACTGAAGATCGACGGTCGCGTGGTCCGCGGATGCTGAGCGGGCGGCCCATAGAAGACAACGGTCCACACCAGCAGGCCAAGCAAGATGTAGGAGAAGCCCAGCGCAAGGCGCCTGACGATACTCCAAGTGTCCGAGTGCCCGAAGTTCTGCCACTGCACCGTGTCGGGCTCCGCCCTGGTGGCCTCCCGTGCCCCCAGGCGCCCGCAGAATCGAATCGATAAGTCGGATCGGCGATCGAAATGACTCGGATCGGCGGAAATCGGCAGCCGAGTCGGGAAACATCGAATCGGCGGGAACCAACAGGCTAGTATGCGTCCGATAAGACTTCGGAGCCCACATCGGAATCCGAAACCGAATCGAATTTGAATCGGAAGCCATCGGAATCGAATCAACTGGAACCGGAGGAATCGAAACGAGCCCTGGCCCCTGCATCCCTCCCCCCACGCAGGTGCACGTGCAAGTGCAAGTGCTGCATGCTGTGCGTGTGCGGCGTGCGCTTGGCAAAAATGTGTGCAACGCGCACGCCCTGCCCCCGAACCCGTCCCCCAGCCACTTGGCACAGGCAGGCTCAGGATGTGGGCTCGGAAGTCTTGCGAACCCTCCAATGTGTTTCTGCTCCCTTCAAACTCTTATGAGGCAACTCATGGGAGATCTTCGTCGGAAGGATGAGGGAGAATTGCGCCCCATTAGGGGGCTGCTAGGCCGGATTAGGCCGCGGATTAAGCGGTACTCGGCCGGGTTAAGCGGGATTCGGCTGGACTAAGCCGGATTAAGCCAGATTTCGGACCAGGGCAAAGTCAGAATTTGACCTCCCAAGAGTTGCATCCGAGCGACTCCTCATATGTGTTTCTGCTCCTCTCGAACTCATCCCGAGACGCGAGAGGGCCACGGCGGCCCCTGAGGAGACTGAGACGACACCCTCCAAAAGATCCCCTCCCCTCGCAAGCCTCCATCCTCACCGTGTTCCCCCGGAAATTGAACGAGCCGTTCGTCCTCTGGACGGCATCGTTGCGGCAAGCCTCCGTCGTGAACACCACGAAGGCGAACTCGGTGGTCCCGAGCTCATCGAGGAATGCCTTCATTCGCTCGGCTTTGCTGCCACCTGGCTGGGGCCCGTCCTTCTCTTCAGCCCCCTGCTCGGCATCCGTCAGGTAATGCTTCTCCAGGTCGAACACCGCCTTCGGCCAAACAAATATGTACACCGCCACCCTCCCCGAGAATACATGCAAAAACTCGTCAGAGGGCGTCCGTGTATATATTTTCGTGGCGAGGCCTTCTTCCAGCCGCCGAGCTGCACGTCACTCACTGTCAGCTCGTCGCGGGTCTTCCTTCCGTAGTCGATTTCGTATACGAGCTCCTCGGCAAGGAGCAGCGCGGCCCGTGGCCCAGGGGAGTCTCTGGTCCTACATCGAGCTCCTTCCGAACCCAAACTGTTCCTAATTTCAGCGTCTTGACTGTGGCCCCGTCACGTTCAAGAGAGCCCCCGTGGACGACCTCCGCGGCCCCACCATGAACGTGATTTCGACCGGGTGCTTTCCAAATGTCGCGCGCCCCTCGTCACCCTTTCGTCCAAATGGCGTCCACAATTCGTCCAGATGTCGACCACTTCCGACGACATCCGGACGACATCTAACCAAAACCGAAAGGGTTGTGGGACCCCCTGAACCTGCCATGAAGGAACGCGCAACTTTCAGGAAGGTCTGGGGCATCGTAGAGCGGGGCTGCAACCTTGGGGGTTGCTTCATGGGGGGGGAAGGAGGGGCGGAAAATTGCACATTTCTAGTGCCGTTGTGTTGGCCCCAAGGGGCCCCTTTAGGGCCCCTCAAGGTGCACATGTCTCCCCCCCCATTTACTGCCCCCCCCCCGTTACGCAGGGCCCAACTATGTGGAGACCTATGTTCCCCAGGCGCAGTGCGCGAAGGTGGGTCGGCGGGCCCCGTGGAACGATGCGAGCCCCATCATGGTTTCCGAAATTCGAGAAATGAGCGGCAACTATAATTTTGCACCATTCCACCTGGCTCCCGCAAGTCGGCTCTCAGCGGCGCTAGTCGGCGCAACATCGACGTTGAATCGACGATTGTTCCTCGGCTGCCAAACGCGCGCACTCCAGAGCACCCTAAGCTCGCGATTGCGAGGACGCGCGAGGCTCCCATGAGATGCTGACCGCAACTGGTCTTCAATGCTCCCATCAATAATGGGAGGCACGTTTTTGCGTGGGCTTCTTGGCGGATTGGGACCCCAACCGCACTGTGAACATAGTTGTTCCCCCCACGGCGGCCACCGCTGATGATCGGTGGGGGGAGGGGGATCCCTGATGGTGATGATGATGATGATGATGATGGAATGATGATGATGATGCTGATGATGATGACGATGATGATGATGATGTTGATGTTGATGATGGTTAAGATGCAGGTGATGATGATGATGATTAGGATGATGATGATGATGATGATGATGATGATGATGATAATGATGATGATGATGCTGCTGCTGATGATGATGATGATGATGGCGATGATGACAATGATGATAAGGGGAATGCTGGTTTTCATTGCCAGCCGACGGCGCATGGGTTTCTCATCGTTAAAACTTTATTGCGGCTCCTTCCCTTGTTCAACTCGGGGAGACGTAGAACTGGGGTTTGGGGGACTCGGGTTGGCCTGACGTGGCCACCATGGTAATGACGAGACACCATCTGAAATGTGAAGCGAACTCCCGCTGCAACCCTACGAAACCTGGGTGTCAAAACCCAAGAAACTCTCTTCAAAAAGCGCTTGCAGACCCGGATTCCGGCGCACTCGGGTCGTGCGCTTCCCGGGTAAAAGGCGGGAAATAACAAACAAACAAAAAAACTGCAGTAAACCCCCACAGTAAGGATGGGCAATTTTCCCCAAGGGTACCCTTGCATCCTTGCCTCCTCGGTCCATCGTTGGCCACTTTCGTTTGCCGCGCCCCGCTCGAAAAGCCTCGAACTGGCCTTCCAAGGCCCTTGCATCCTTATCGTGCATCCTTATAATACGGGTTGGCCGTATTTCCAACGACTGGCGTATGATGCGCCCTGCAGATGAAATCGCGAGGACACGCAAGGTCCGATTTGGATGCCACCGCACCGCTCTGGACTGGGGCCGTCCTCTCGGCACCGCTCGAGGGCGTTGAGCCGGGCGTGTCCTCCCACAGGCAGATTTTGGAATACTTACGCAATATAGCATTGCATTGAAAACGAAACACTAACTCCCATACTATTGTTGCGCTATTCTGGAATATTCCTCCTGTAGAGGGACGTGACCGACTTAACGGTGGCGTGAGCGCAACCCCCTTGCCTCGGCCGGGAGGGCCCTCCTGGGGCCCAGGCCGGCAACGGGCGAGGGATCATGTGGTGACGTGCGGCTTCAGGGCCCAGGGACACATTCATAAATTTACACAATTACGAGGAGCCCCCATCTTTTCTAGCATTTTCGGGGTTTCGTCTCCCCCCCGCTGCCTGAATATTCTCTTATACTTTCCTGAGATTCGACGATTGATTGTGTCTGTGTTTTTGCCCCTCCTGAATTACGTGGTGACGCGCAGCTGCTTTCTTGGGAGAGCAAAAACCAAACATGCTCGCGTCGCGTCGGGCGAAAGGCAAGAAAGGTTAATTCCCCGTTTGCGGCCTCTAGGGGCCCTCGCCAGACCCCGGGACCGTCAAAAACGGCTCAGGATGAGAAAAGCCGTGCCGGGGGAAGGGTCGAGGAACTTCGGGGGACGGCGCGCTGAAAACAGCAAGACGTGGCAAGTCTGGGGGAACAAAAAAGCTTCCTTGTTTCTTGCCGGGCACAAAACACCCGAGCTGAACGCGCGCGAAGCGCGCAGCCCACCTCCGAGAAGGGTGCCAAAAAGTGCCTGCGTGAATTCACATGCAGTCGGCCCATACAGCCTCAGGCCGGGGACCGAGAAATGCGGCGGCTCACGTAGCCCAGAGCCGCCACAATCGCATGGGGTTCCCTGGTAGCCGGCCAGAGAAAACACACAAATGTCCCTCACCGTGCCTCCTTGAGCGCCGTGGTGGAGTGTCCCAAGGCTCATGCAGTTGTGGGTCGTGGAGGGATTGGAAGGGACTGCATTACTTTAGGTCGGGCATGTCCTCCTACAGGCATAAAGGAAAAGAAAGCTGAAAAATCCGAGGTTGGGGGGTGAGATCGCAGCGGAACAGTGACCCCCAGCCAGGAAATCGTTTCGTTTCGTTCGTGTCGTGCGTGCGGGCGAGGCGAAGCTGCGTGGGCGCGCGAGAGGAATGAACCCGCCGTTGCTAGGGCGAAGTCAAGACAAATGTTGCTCCCCTGTCCGTCCGTCCGTTCGTCCGTCCGTCCGGCGGTGGCCCAAGAGGTGTCCCGCGGTGTCCCGTGGTGTCCACCGTTGCTAGGGCGAAGTCAAGACAAATGTTGCTCCCCCGTCCGTCCGTCCGTCCGTCCGACCGGCGGACCGGCGGTGGCCCTAGCGGTGTCACGCGGTGTCCCGTGGTGTCCCGTTGCGTGCAATCGATAGTGAGGTCGATAGTGAGATCGATAGTGAGATCGATACTAAGATCGATGTGGTGCCCCGAGGTGCCCCGTGGTGTCCAAAAAAGTGAGATCGATAATGAGATCGATAATGAGATCGACAGGTGTCCCGTAGTGTCCCGTTGAGTGAGGTCGATAATGAGATCGGTAGTGAGATCGATACTGAGATCGATGTGGTGCCCCGAGGTGTTCTGTGGTGTCCCAAAAAATGCGATCGATAGTGAGATCGATGTGGTGTCCCCCCGTGTCCCGTTGAGTGAGATCATTAGTGAGATCGATAGTGAGATCGGTACTGAGATCGATGTGGTGGCCCGTGGTGTCTCGTGGTGACCTATGGTGCCCCGTTGAGTGAGATCGATAGTAATTTCGATAAGGAGACCGATAATAAGATCGAGAGGTGTCCCGCGGCGTCCCGTGGTGTCCCGGGGTTGCCCGTGGTGTCCCGTTGAATGAGATCGATAGTGAGATCGGTAGTGAGATCGACAAGTGTCCCGTGGTGTCCCGTGGTGTCCCGTTGAGCGAGATCGATAGTGAGATCGACAAGTGTCCCGTGGTGTCCCGTTGAGTGAGATCGATAGTGAGATCGATTGAGTCAGATGTTGGTTCCCCCCTCTCTCCCCCCACACAACCTACTTATCACCCGAAGGGTGGTCGTATAGGTAGTCACAGAATATGCGAACATACCTAGAAATAATGGACAAATCGTCCCAATTTTTTGTCCGACTTTTTTGAGTATTCCTCCTGTAGAGGTGACAGGCCCGATTTAATCGCAGAGCGATTGGGGGGGGAGTGCGCTGCTTCCTTGGCCCACCCCCACGACGGCAGCCGCGTACCAACGCCCCCCTCCAACACCTGTTCGAACCGCGCACCGGGCTCCAGGCCCTTGTCGATGGCCCCAGGCTTAGGTTGCCCCCATCGCACTTAAGGACCACATCCGAGAAAGAATTTCGAACACCCAGAGAAGTATTGAAACCGTGTCGAACGAGTATCGCCTCTCAGGGCCCGACGCGTGAAAACCCCCAAATTTCAGTATTTTTCCTGGTGCTCGAAAATCTTCGAGGTGATCAGGGCCAAAGCGGGTTGGAACATCATAACCCATGGCGAGGATGCTGCAGCCGGGCCGCTGAACTGAGGAACGGTACAGCAGGAACGAAACCCCTCCTGGCCATCGCTCGGATGTCCATTCCCTGTGCTTGTTTCGGTTTCGTGCGTGTTTTTCTTGCCAAATGATGAAGGATGCTCCTCGATGGTCCTCGCCGAAGGAAACATGCACACGTCCGAGCGATGCCAAGCCTCTCTCTTATGCTCCCAGACCGCCTTCGTTCACGAGGAGGGCCGGAGGCACGGCCCTGGAATGACCCAGAGAAACATCGAGCCCCCTCCGAACCCAGGCTGCTCCTCGTCTCCGCGCCCTGACTGTACGAAGGGCCCGGGAGCTCCCGCGAAGCCGGAGGGCTTCCGAGAGGGACCCCCTGCCTTCCCAGAACTGGAGGAGAGGCCACCCCTCTTGCGCCACCAACCTCCTTGCGCGCGCCGCCCAGAGGCCGGTTTGCCCTTCTCGAGTCCGGCACGCATACTCGCATGGGTTGGCGGCAGGCACAGGGGTGTACAGTCGGACCCAGGCCAGGAGAACATCCTCCAAGAGCATGAGACCATCACCCCGGCCAACACAAACAGAACATTCAAGGGTCCCTTTCCCCAGGATGCGCAATCGCATGCAACAAGCACGAAAAACACCAGGGTAACCTCCCCGAACCGACCTCGATCTTATGCCTCGGTCCGACTGTACTTGCATGGGTCGGCGTTGGCAGCACGCACAGGGGTATAGGGTGAGATGGAGGCTGCTTCTTAGAAGGCGCTCGCTCTGCATCTGTAGACGAGGACCGCCTTCCACGAGGCAGGCATTCCCCCCTCCCCCTAACTACCCCCCTGTGCGCGCCGCCCAATGGTCACTGCACCGACCTTGCAGACGTGCTTTAGCGGATTGTTGCGCGGATTTAGATGCAATGCCCCGAGACGGCGAGCGAAAATGAATTCCTGTCCAGAAAAAGTCAGCACGGAATTCACTTCGAAAGCAGGAGGCAAAATTCTCCAGGACAATCCAGGCCCATCCCATTGTTTTCCGAACGAAATCCGCTCTGCGATGTTGACGCCATGACAGCGGGGGGCGGGGGGCGTGGCGAGGGCAAAGGAGAAACCTGGACTCCACGCAAACCGAGACTCACTTGTACGCCTTTTCCAGTCCCGCGGTCCCGCGACCGAGCGAGGAGTGCCATTGCCCCCCAGACGGCGCGTGAGCATGGAGAGCCGGGAGAGGGAGGAAGGCCTGGAAGGAGGAGGGGGAGGAGGAGGAGGAGGAGGAGAGAAGGCTGTCGCAGGATGCCTTCCACCACCGCTCCAAGCGCTCCACGCTCTCGCGCTGCACTGCCTTCGGCCCGAATATATCGGAGTTGGGGCGCCACCGCTCCGTTCCTAGAGCGCATCTTTTCATTCGTGGCCATAACGGGAGTTATTGGGGGAGGGGGGGAGGAGGGACGGGAGGGAGCCCCCTTCAACAAAACGTGGTTTCGTGAAAACGACCTCGGGCCCAAACCTGGCGGGCGCAAGCCTGGAAAATGGCGGCCGCGGCGCCCTCTCGAAAACCGAAAACGGACAATTCACTAATCGACGTGTCAGGGTGCGGGTTCTGTCCACCCCGAAAAACGTAGCCGCCCCCCCAGACTGGTGCCAGACGCACTGCGGCAGCGCCGGGGACGCACCGAGGGGGGGGAACGTTACGTCATGTGGGGGAGGGGGGGAGGGCAGAGGGCATAACGCGCGCTATGGCCCAGAGGGCAAAACAAACACATGCTCCTAGTGGGACTGCGCCCCAACGCGATGGGAGCGTCCGTCCGTCCGTCCGAGCCGCCACAGCCAAATCCCAGTCGTGCACTCCTCCGCCCTGCAAACAAGCAGTCAACCGGACGACTGGGGGAGCCGGCAACTTCGGGACCACTTCCGGACCAGCTGCGCAAGACAGGATGCGCCCGTCTCTCTCCGGCCAGCAGCCTTGCGGAGCTCCAGGAAGTTCCTGGCTGAAGAAAATGGATCATCGCACTGGGTCCGGTTCGAGTCTCTGGGCCAGTTGCGCCATGAATGACATCGGTCTTCTAGCGAGGCGCACGCTGTGCTTCCCTTGCCACCTGCGCACACGACAGAATCAATGGAGGCATCGGATCCGAAAGCTGCCTTCGCGCCGCCTCTCAGCTTGCTCAGACAAGCGGCGCACAATACGTATGCAAGCTCAGACACCACGCGAGCAATGAACATCCAAACTCTCCTTTGCCTGGGAAGATCAACTATGGCCCGTCCACGCTCCGAGCTTACGGGGGCAGCTTGGATCTGGGTGGCCGAGGGGGGAAGGCGGGGAAAGGGGAGGGGAACGCCATGCAAGCAAACTTGTGTGAGTCTACGGAACATATAATAGAAGATGGAAACATGCCATACCTCCGCGCGGATTTCTCAGCTCCGCGCTGGCCCCCCCTACCCTGGCGCGCGGAGCGCGCCGGGGGCGGTGCCTCCGGCGCCGCCGGGGGGGGGCCAACGCAGATCCAAGAAATCCGCGCGGAGCGTCAGAAGTTTTTGTCTATGGCGTATTTCTTCGAATGCAAGCAAACTCATGTGAGTCTGCGGAACATAAGAACAACACTTGGGTCGGGCGTGTCCCCCTACAGTCGAGTATTGGACGAAAAATGAGAAGCAATTAAAAAACAATTCAAGAATGGTAAAACAAAAATAAACCATAGAAGAATCGTCCCGAGACTATTTTTGGACTACTTTTGAATATTATTCCTCCTGTAGCAGAAGATGCCGAAAATCAACGCGGACTGCTGGACAGGCACCGTGCCCCCCCCTCCCGGACGCGCGGGAGGCGCGCCAGGGGACGGCGCCAAGAGCCGTCCCAGCGCCGATCCGAGAGATCCGCGCGGCGCCCCGGGAAGCTTGGTTTGTCCCTCGATGTCGCCTCGCGCGCGCAGCAAAGTGTTATGAGGAACATCCTGGAGGCCTCGTGCGGCAACTTGACACCCAATGTACGTAGGATCCACGTCGGACTTCCGTCGGGCTCGTCGAGTGCATGTCGGACTTACGTCGGACCATGGCCGCACGGACGTCGTCCCGTATCTGACGAGGCGGGCGTGTGGACCAGATGATACAATTACTGCGCGCCGCGCAAGGCCTCCAGGATTTTCCGCATAGAAAGTGTTGTTTCGCCCTGGTCCTTCGCTTCCTTCATCACCTTCTCCTCATCCTCCAGGAAGTCCCACGCCACGGACACGCCGACGACCTCCTGTCCCGTCGCGTCCTGCCGGCGACCGACGAGCCGTTATATCTCACATTCCTACTGGCGTCCCAGCCCCCGAAGAATGCCAGAAAAGGGCTTTGGAGGCCGAATGTGCATCCGTGTCCTGCACCGGTGGCGCCCACATTTACAATTATCTGGCTACGACAAGGAAGCCTGGATGGATAGAACGGGTTTGTCTGGTCACGGCGAGCCGAAACAACGAATGGGTTCCACGACCTAAATCGAAAGACCAGCCCGACTAGCGGAATTTCTCCAAGGTTGTCCTTAATTCAACGCGATTGCCAGAGAACAATCAGAAACGGCATAAACACAATAGCCAACACGGATCATCCACAATCATTGCGTTGTGGTGCAATTATGTGGTGGAACCGCGTTATGTAAGCTCTGTGGTGGAAACTCAGTGGTACACGCTGTGTTGCGTGATGCTACATATGTGGTCAATTCTACGTGGTGAAGTATGCTTGGTGGAAGCTATGTAAGGCAAACTATGTGGCACAAGCTTTGTGGTGCAAGCTACATGATGCAATCCAAATGATTAAAAATCGTTGTGGTGAAAGAGACGCAGTGCAATATAGACTGTCCAATCTACGTGGTGCAATCAATCACTTGCTCAACTTGAAAGTGTCCACACCACTGCTCGCGCAAACGTCCCACCCACCCACCCGCAAGTTGGTTTGCAAACCCCATGCGGAAGCGATTGCGATGAGTGTTTGGTGTTGGCTGATGCATCCCTGCGGCCGCGCTAACCCGCGATTGCTCGCGCGCGCAGCGGCCAGTTAGTTTGGCCCGACCGACGCGAACGCGGTGGCGCTGACCGCTCGGCACATTCCAGCGGGCACTTCAGTGCGAGTCGGCGACTTGGGCGGGCGCGTATCATGGCAACGTCGACAACGGTAGAAGCGATGATGGTAGTAACGATGCCGGCGACGATGCCGGCAGCGACGACGGGGCAGCCAGTGACGGCGCCGATGCTGATCACGCCGAAGGCGATGACGGCGTCTTCTCGTCGGCGATGAAGGTTTTGGAAGGAGTTCGACATGCGCGCGCGGCAGACGCGCGAGAGTGGCCCGCATGGTATTCTTTGAAACGGACCGAGCCACCCCAACACGCGCGCAAAGGCGCCCGAATGATTTCGACATGTGCGCTCGAAACCCGTTTGGTAGCATATTCGGAAATTGATGTAACAATCTGTGGTTTGCTTCAGAATTCGCAGGATCGCGCGCGCGCAAGTTTTGTTTGGTACTCCGTGTTGCGAAACCCTGTGTGTTTATACGTTTTCTGGCAACTCGATTTTGACATCCTTCCCAAACCTAATTGTTTTGAAAGATTTCGGCATGTACGCGCGACGACGCGCGAGTGCGCATCTCGTATCTGTTGCAAGGGATTCTTGGAAGCTCATGATTCTTGATAGACGAGTGCGCGCGCATAGTACTTGTTGTTACTTGTTGCAATTGATGGCGGGGGGGTGAGACCGGCCCAGCTGGCATAGTATGAGTTCACAACTAGGATGGACGATGGGGCATAATCATGTGCACATTGCAATACGAGAAGGTGAGCCCTTAACGCCGTGGGGGGGGATGGTGGCAGAACCTATTTCTTACTCAGAAAGGAGGATCTCTGTCGTGCCAGCCATGTGGAGCATGTACTGGGTGCAGGTTCTGTGGTTCACGCCATGTTGTGAACTCTGCGTGGTGACATCTCTATGGCGCAAGCTGTGCGGTGTCAACTCTGTGGTGCAAACTACGTGGCGTGGCCTATGTGGTGCAGCCTGCGTGGTGCAAGATATCGAGGCGCCCGTGAGGCGCCCACGGGCGGGCCCCTGGCGAAACCTCGGCCTACCCCCACGGCGCGGGGCGCCCACGAGGCGCCCCCGGGCGGGCATCAGACCACACACCGCGGCGTATCCTCCCGGCGCGGAGCGCGCCCCCGGGCGAACAACGAGCGAAACCTCGGCCTACCCCTCGGGCGCTGGGGCGCAAGCGAGGCGCCAGCGGGCGGCGGGCGCCGGGTGGCCAGGCGCGGGTCGCCCACGAGCGCCCGCGCGGCGCCCGCGGGCGGGCACCAGGCGACACCTCGGCATACACCTCTCGCGTGGGGCGCCCACGAGGCGCCCAAGGAGGGGGGTGGGGGGGGGGCACCAGTCGACACCTCGGCAGACTCCCCACGCGCGGGGCGTGCACGGGGCGCCCACGGGCGTGCACCAGCCGACAACCTGGAGTACCCATCCAATGCTTTGAGGCACTGGGCGCAGACTTTCCACGCAAACGATGCTTGGGGAATGACAATTCGGAGGTCCGCACGGGGCTCTCCGATCGGCTCTGGGCCCCCCTCCATGGCGCCAGGGAGGGGGCCCCCGCGCAGGTCCGAGAAGATATCCGCGCGGAGCTCCGAACATTTACGTTTACGCAAGTGTATACTCCTCGGTATCCGTGCCCTGGACACGTGGCGCCCACAGCGGACAAAACAGCAGGAACTTGGGTAAAACCACGGTCGCCGATCCTGGACCGCCTGCGCGATCAACTTCTCGGGGCTCTCGGCGCCGGAGAGTAGCGGCAGGCCCGACAGCAGCACGGCGAAATCGGTCATGGTGGTGTTGTCGCGGTCCATCTGCTCGAAGAGGCGCAGCTGGCGGACGCCGTGGTAGATGGCAAGAGCAAAGCTGAAGACGTACCTGGTGTCACGAACGCCAGACGGATCCATATCCATATCCTGGCGGTCTAGACACCGAGGCGCGACTCCATGGATATTCAACTATACGGGCACGTGCCGCGGCGGACATCCGCACGAAGCCGACCGCCATGTATCCATGGGGTCGCGGCCGAAGAATGCGGACCGCGAGGCAGTGGCTAAAGCTGTGGGCAAACTTCGAGCACTGGCAAGACTGGACGCTTTCGGTAGGTCGGGCGTGCCCCCCCACAGGCGGATGCTGGACCATTAACATTCCTCCTGTAGAGGGGCACGCCCGACTTAATGCTTTTCCTGGGGACCTCTGGGAGGCCGGCGGAAAGCAGCGAGGAGCTCTGGAGACCCCTGGCGAGGCACCGACCAGATTGAGGGGGCCCAGACCCCCGACGCCACGCTCTGCTCACAACGTGGACCCCCGGAGGTCTCGACCAGGGCTGGACCTGAATGTTGTTTTATCGTTTTGTGTTCGTTTTGTCTACCTGCTTTCCTGCACCCCCCCTGCAAAACGAAGAACAAACACAGCCGAATCCCCGTAAAAGAGCGTTTAGGTCCAGCCCTGGTCTCGACCCGTTCTCTGGGACGGGTTTTCCACCCCGAGACCTCTTGCGCACTCCGGGGCCTGGCGGGGCCATCATGAACATGACGCGAACCAGTCTGAAATTTGACGCGGGCTCCCGCTGCAGACGTTCTAAAACTGGACCGTCGAAATTCAGGACGGGCTCGTCAAAAAGCGTAGGCGAACCCGAACTCCGGCGTACTCGCGTCTCACGCTACCCTTTGACAATACCAGTGGCTCCTAGAAGGGGTCGGAGGACCGCGCCGCATCTCCAATGCATCGCCGATGCATCGGCAACGTCGGCGCTGTATGCCGACACCAGCCGCATCGCCGATTCATCGGCGGTGCGGCGCGATCCTCCGACCCCATCTACTCCGACCCCGTCCAGGAGGCCTAGGAATGGCCCAGAGCTCTCCGCCGTGTTTTGCGCCGCGCGAGGGGCTCTGGGCTCGTGGGTGAGCAGAGATCTGCCTCGGGGCCTCTCCTGGGGCGCGTGCTGGCCAAAATAAGGGATCTAATGACCCAGGTCAATGCAAAAACCAGCCTGGGTCAGTGCGACCCTGGCCCTGCAGGATCATGCAAGATCCAATGCTCTGACTGACCCCCGCCTGCATTGACCCCCGTCTCTCTTGAGTTTGATCGGGCATGTCCTCCTACAGGCGAACTTGAGGAATCATTGGAAAACATTGCAAGTATCCCGGCAAAGCAACCTAACAGCGATGTGTAGGAGCATGTCTGGAAGCATTCCCCTTCAGATTCATATGAGAATCCAGTTGTAGAATTCTGCTGTTCTCGCAGTCGCAGTCGCAGTCACAGCCTCAGACTCAGCCTGCCTCAGCCTCAGCCTGCCTCAGCCTCAGCCTCAACCTGCCTCGGCTTCAGCCTCAGCCTGCTTCAGCCTCAGCCTCAATCTGCCTTCAACCTCGGCCGCAGCCTCAGCCTGCCTCAGCCTCAGCCTGCATCAGCCTCAGCCTCGGCCTCAGCCTCAGGCTGCCTCAGCATCAGCCTGCATCATCCTCAGCCTCAGCCTCGGCCTCAGCATCAGCCTGCTTCAGCCTCAGCCTCAGTCTGCCTTCAGCCTCGGCCTCAGCCTCAGGCTGCCTCAGCATCAGCCTGCATCATCCTCAGCCTCAGCCTGCCTCAGCATCAGCCTGCCTCAGCTCAGCCTGCTTCAGCCTGCTTCAGCCTCAGCCTCAGTCTGCATTCAGCCTCGCCCTCAGCCTCAGCCTGCTTCAGCCTCAGCCTGCATCAGCCTCAGCCTCAGCCTCAGCCAGCCTCAGCCTCAGCCTCAGCCTGCCTCAGCCTCAGCCTGCCTCAGCCTCAGCCTCAGCCTGCTTCAGCCTCAGCCTCAATCTGCCTTCAGCCTGTGCCGCAGCCTCAGCCTGCCTCAGCCTCAGCCTGCATCAGCCTCAGCCTCAGCCTGCCTCAAAATCAGCTTGCCTCAGCCTGAGCCTCAGCCTGCCTCTGCCTCAGCATCAGCCTGCTTCAGCCTCAGCCTCAATCTGCCTTCAGCCTGTGCCGCAGCCTCAGCCTGCCTCAGCCTCAGCCTGCATCAGCCTCAGCCTCAGCCTCAGCCTGCCTCAGCATCAGCCTGCCTCAGCCTCAGCCTCAGCCTGCCTCAGCCTCAGCCTGCTTCAGCCTCAGCCTCAGTCTGCCTCAGCCTCGGCCTCAGCCTCAGCCTGCCTCAGCCTCAGCCTGCATCAGCCTCAGCCTCAGCCTCAGCCTGCCTCAGCATCAGCCTGCCTCAGCCTCAGCCTCAGCCTGCCTCAGCCTCAGCCTCAGCCTGCTTCAGCCTCAGCCTCAGTCTGCCTTCAGCCTCGGCCTCAGCCTCAGCCTGCCTCAGCCTCAGCCTGCATCAGCCTCAGCCTCAGCCTCAGCCTGCCTCAGCCTCAGCCTGCCTCAGCCTCAGCCTCAGCCTGCCTCAGCCTCAGCCTCAGCCTGCTTCAGCCTCAGCCTCAGTCTGCCTTCAGCCTCGGCCTCAGTCTGCTTCAGCCTCAGCCTCAGCCTGATTCAGCCTCAGCCTCAGCCTGCCTCAGCATTCAAAATTTGGCCCGGGAATGGAGCTCTGGGAACTCGAAGAACACGAAGTGGCCTACAATTGGCTCCAGGCATTCAAAATCATGCCCCGGAATGGAGTTCTGGCAACTCGAAGAGCACGAAGTGGCCTACAGATGGCTCCGGGCATTCAAAATCATGCCCAGGAATGGAGTTTTGGGAATTCGAAGACCACGAAGTGGCCTACAATTGGCTCCAGGCATTCAAAATCATGCCGCGGAATGGAGTTCTGGGAACTCGAAGAGTGGCCTACAGTTGGCTCCGGGCATTCAAAATCATGCCCAAGAATGGAGTTTTGGGAATTCGAAGACCACGAAGTGGCCTACAGTTGGCTCCGGGCATTCAAAATCATGCCCAGGAATGGAGTTCTGGGACCTCGAAGACCACGAAATGTGTAACTATTTGCTTAAAACGACTTCCGCGGATTCTCCCCGGCACCCGTCCGGCATCTGCCCAGACCCCCCTGAGGAGTCAAGATGCTTTCTTTTGAGACCATTAGAAACCTATCAGTCTTCGCTGTTAGGTAACATACGAGTGTCAAAAAACCGTCCCAGACTACTCATAACCATCGATGAATTTTCCGTCTGTAGAGGGACGTGCCCGACTTAACTCCTGAGCCCCCCCTCGGAGGCCCAAGGAATGCTCGCCTCTCGAGGCCCGAGGCGCGGCCGAGGCGCGGGTACACGAAGACGAGGAAGGCAATCTTGATCCACATGAGCCTCACAAGCAAGAGAGCCCAGAATCGAATCGATACAGTCAACCCGTGTAGTGAGGATGCGCGATAAGGACGCAAGGGCCTTGGAAAGTCATGTTGACGTTGTTCGAAGGCTTACAAGGGTACCTTAAGGGGCTGGCCAGCGAAAGTTGCCAGTGATGGACCGAAAGGGCAAGGATGCAAGGGTAACCTAAGACAAATAGCTTATCCTTACTCTGCCGTGTGTCTGTAAGTCGGATCGGCAATCGACATGAATCGGATCGACGGAAATCGATAACCGAGTCGGGAAACGTCGAATCGGCAGACATCCATCGGCAGGCCAGTAGATCTCCATTGAGAAATCGGAGCCCCAATCGGAATCAGGAATCGAATCGAATCGGAATCGGAGGCCATCGAAATCAAATCGAGTCGAAGGAACTGAAACGAGCCCTACACAGGGCGCGAGCAAAACGTCGCTCTCGTTCTTGGCGGCGGGCGAAGGGGGTAACTAAGAAGGAGAAGGCCTTCTCGGAAGGCGGCGGGATTTCTCCGAAGCCCTCGCGCCTTCGGAGAAATTTGCGTGTCTTCGGGTAAGGCTTAAGAACTAAGAAACTTCTCAAAGGCCGGGGAACTTCGGAGTCGTCTGAGAAGGCCCGCCCCTTCTCACTTTCCTCCCTGCTCACCGCCGATGTGTTGAGCACCGCTGGCGTTTAAAACGATGAACAATGGAAAAGACGCTCTCCCCCGATCAACCATTTTCGCTCCAGCCCGTCGCCCGCGAGAGCGAAAACAAAACGGCCGCGGGCTGGCGCCTGAACGCACAATGTGGAAATAAGAAAGGTATGCAAAACTAGCAACACAATGTTCTTTTGTTCCGAGGCATGCGAGAAGGAACATGAGAAGGGGAAGGCATTCTCGGAATGCGGCGGGACTTCTCAGAAGCCCTCGCGCCTTCTGAGAGATGTGTGTGTGTGTGTGTGTCTTTGGGGTAGGTTCTAGAAACTTCTCAGAAGGCTGGGAGACTTCCGAAGTTTCCGAGAAGGCCTTCTCCTTCTCACTTTCCCCCCAGGCTCGCCGCCGAGTTTTGCTCGCGCCCCAGAGCCTCATCTGCGTCTCGTAGCCCCACGCCACCATGATGCAGTTCTCGCGGGGCATGCCGAAGCGGCGAGTGCCGAGGCGCATCAGGTCGGGCAGGCGGCCCAACACAGGGTCCTTAAGAGCAGCTGGCATCGGATCGTGCAATCGAGTCGAATCGGGATGTGCGTCGGATCGGACAGAATCGGGGACGTCCAGGATGGGGGGTGTCCAAGAGGGCGGTGTGCAAATCATGGCCCGATGCATGTGCGCGGACCAGGGAGGGCAGGGAACGTACCGAAATAAGAAAAGGGGCCATGAAATCTGGGGAGATACCATGGCCCCTCGCCATGATATCCACCCCCCTAGTCATCACCCCCATCGTGGCCGCCCCTGACAGAACTGGCACGGAGTCGACCACGAAATGCGAACGTATCCCTATCCGCGCCCTCGCGGTCTGGGTTCCAGGCCGCGATCCCGCGGATCTGCGGTCGCGCGGGTACGTTCCGCGCGGGGCACCCGCGAACAAAACCCGTTGCCGCAGGGCCGCTGCCCAGGGGCCAGGCCCGCGAGGCCGCGTTCACGGATACGCTTTTGGCTCACGAGTCGAAATTCCCCTCGCGTCGTGAAAAAAACACGCCAGAGCATGTTCCGCAATTTTCGGCCTCGCAACAAACGATCCGGGATGAAAAGCCGGGTCTGGGGAAGAGGTCCCCACCTCCGGAGGAAGGAGGAGGAGGCGGAGGCGGGGGCGGGAGGAGAAGGAGGAGGAGGGGAAGAGGTCCAGACCTCTGGGGGCCAACGCGGTGAGAGCATCAAGACGCCAGGAGTCTGGGAACCGGCACGGACTCGACACCGCATCGGATCGGCTGCGGCAGGGTGCACAGCAGCACCCATAGGCAAGCAGCTGGCCGCATCGGCTTGTTGCAACATCTGAATCGAATCGGGTCGGGCCAGCCGAAGCAAACATCGAATCAGATCCTACTCCTCCTCCTCCTCCTCCGCCTCCGCCTCGTCCTCCTCCCTCCTCCTCCTCCTCCTCCTCCTCCTTCTCCTCTCCTCCTCCTCCTCCTCATCATCGAGATGGGACTGGAGTCCTGGATGTAGGAGATGAGCACCCACACGACAGCGACCGCGAGGGCCCAAACGATGATGGCCATCTGGAAGTTGAAGTGCAGCGTCATGCCAGGGCCAGCGACGGGGGTCGTCATCAGGTTCGTCGTCAGCGGCCACTGCTCACGCTGCCCTCCAGGGCCTCGCCTTTGGCGCAACTTCTGGGCCGTGCGGAAGTGCAGGCCGTCGTTCAGTCCATTAGGATTGGTCTTTTCACGACAGCCCATATTGACGACGATGACCAACAGCAGCACTACGGCCGCGGCGAGGATCACCAACAGCGCGTAAAGCAACTGGTAGTACGTAAAGTGGCACTGGCCGTGCTCGTCGAGCGTGAAGAGACGTTTGCAAACGGCACATCTGTCTTGGCCGGATGTGTCGTACTCCCTGCAAAAATTGGCCGTGGGATACCTGCAGGCGCCCGCGTAGGAGTCTGCCACGGTCGCCTTCGGATTGTACTTCGTGCACTGGTCGGCGGGGACGCAGCGGAACGAACAATGCCTGTCATCGGTCTTATCTTGCACGTAATACGGACAATCTTCTGGGCATATGGCGTTTTTCTCACTAGAGGAGTCGACCACTACGGTCTCATCGCACTTCTGCGTCACCATTCTTGAATCCCTGTCATCGTCCGTCTCGTTAGTGCCAAAACCACCTCGGAAAACTCGAGGCGGCTTTCTCACAGTCAGGAAGGATGCTGTCGCGAAGCTCCTGTTACTGGACCTCGGCATCAAAGTGTGTTGCGTGGTCAGCAAGGCCGCGGACGCGACCGATAAAAACTCGCACAGCGCAAGAAGCCTGAAAGGCACATGGGCGCTAACGACGTTGATAACCATCTATGCTGACTTGTGGTTCGGTGAGAGAAAGGAGATAAAACATGCCACCAACTACATTGTCACAATCATGCTGCAAGGCAAGCCTTGGGCCTGAGTGAATGCGGAGCTGCTTGTATGTATACATGCAACCATGCAGAACTGAATACTAATGTGTCGTGTTGTGTGTGTGTGTGTGCATGTGTGCCCGCGATTGGTGTGCGTACGTGTGCGCGCGCGTGTAATGAATGTGGGTGGGATTTATGCGTGTGCATGTGTGTGTGGCCTGGCCGAGCGCTTTCTCCAGCTCGACTGCCTACACCGCGCCGCCGCGCGCGTGGCCGCAACGACAAAAAGTGTGTAAGTGTGTGTGTGTGTGTGATTGTGTGTGCGTGCGTGCGTTCGTGCGTGCGTGCGCTCGTGCGTGTGTGATTGTGTGTGTGTGTGTTTGTGTGTGCGTGCGTGCGTGCGTGCGTGCGTGCGTGCGTGAATGTGTTTGTGTGTGTGTGCGCGCGTGCGTGTGCTTGTGCGTGCGTGTGCGTGTGCGTGGTGTGCATGGTGTGCGTGGTGTGCGTGTGCGTGTGCGTGTGCGTGGTGTGCGTGGTGTGCGTGGTGAGCGTGAGCGTGTGCGTGTGCGTGTGCGTGTGCGTGTGCGTGAGCGTGAGCGTGAGCGTGTGCGTGTGCGTGTGTGTGTGCGTGTGCGTGTGCGTGTTTGTGTGCGTGTGTGATTGTTTGTGTGCGCGTGTATGTGTGTGTGTGTGCGTGTGCGTGTGCGTGTGCGTGTGCGTGTGCGTGTACGTGTTCGTGTGCGTGCGCGTGCGCGTGCGCGTGCGCGTGCGCGTGCGCGTGCGCGTGCGCGTGTGCGTGCGTGCGTGCGTGCGTGCGCGTGTGTGCGTGTGTGTGTGTGTGTGTGTGTGTGTGTGGGTGGGTGGCTCACTTTGCTGCCGCTCCCCTCTCCTCTAAAGTCTGACAACTGTGCTGACTTACGACTCGATTTTGACGTCCCGCGTTCGGGTCCTGTGCTCGCTGCCAAGTGACCACGCCTGCGCCGTGCACGGGGCAAGTGTGTACCATGTCTGCCTACTTGTCCGTCTCTCTGAGTCTACGTGTCGTGGCTGGGGATGAACGACCTAAGTATAAACTTGTGGCGCCCCGCGCGGATTTCTTGGATCTGCGCTGGACCCCCCTCCCTGGCGCGCTCCGCGCGCCAGGGGCGGAGCCTGAGGCGCCGCGGGGGGGCCCCAGGCGCGGATCCGCGGAGCGCCACATGTTTATGCTTATGCCGTTTTTTTCCTTGGTCGAACTTCAGACCAGGGCAAATGAGGACAACTGGCCATCGCTCGGACGTCTATTTCCTATGCTTGTTTTGTTTTCGTGCGTGTTTTTTTCGCCAAATGATCAAGGATGCTCCATGATGGTCCTCGCCGAAGGCAAACTGCACACGTCCGAGCGATGCCAAGACAAGGGCAACTCACAATCTGCCCCCAAAGCCCTCCCAAGGTCCACATGCACCATCTTTGTCCCGAGCTGCGTCCGGCCGTGGCGACGAGGGGACCCCAGAAGGGCCAACTGCCCGTCTCAGCTCGCCAGGTGGACAGCGCCGGCAAGGGATGGGCCAATCTTCCACCACCACTACCACAGCTAGGACGGGGGAGTAGGGAGGATGATGAGGTCCTCCTCCTCCTCCTCCTCCTCCTCCTCCTCCTCCTCCTCCTCACCCTCCCACCTGTGGTAGCGGTGGTGGAAACTCGGCCCATCAGCAAGTGCTCGAAGGCCTCGCTACCAGCAGAGGTCTCACCGAGCGGAGAAGCCGACAGAGCAGCGGCCCCACGGGGCACGCCGCCAGACTGGACGCCGCAGAAGCCTGCAAGACTCCAGCCCACCTGGAGCAGGGAGCGGAGCGGCGCGGGAGACCGCCTCACACCTGGTCCGACCTCGTTGGCACCTACGGGGCCGACGAGCTGGTCAAGGTGCACTACGGGGCCCGTACGGTCAAAGCCATCCAAAGACGACGCCCTCACCCGGGGGGGGGAGCGCGATGGACTTCCTGCCGCGTCGGCGTGGACTTTGGTTTCTGGCACCGGATGAAGCCCACAGAGCCGATGTCTTGACTTGGTGGGCGCCCCGCGGCGCCCTGCGGGTGGGTTTCCCCAACGGCGCCCTGCGGCGGCGACAGCGGCGACCTGGACGAGGACATGAAGGCCCAGACCCCTGACTTCATGATTTTTTCGTAACGTCGACCCCCGAGGTCTCGACCCATTCCCCAGGACCGGTTTTCCTCCCGAGTAATTTTGTTGACGGTCCCGCGGCCCGAGAAGGGCCGCCGAAGACCGACAATGGCGAAAAACCTCCAGCCAAGATTTTGTCATTACTCGGGGGTGTCTGGGGGGGGGAGCAAACGAGGACCATGATCAGGACTGTGCGGCGGACACGTCGGCGTCGATCTTGGTCATGGCCCATGCCGGCCCGCGTGGTGCCGCGAAGGCAAGCCGCGAGAGCAGGCCGCGGGCAAGCCTCGCCGATACAGTTAAGTCCGGGCATGTCCCTCTACAGGAGGAGTATACAAATTAGTCCAAAAATGATATGGGGATGATTTTCCCACAATTTTCGATTATAGTTGACCAAGTGTTTGATATATGTTTCTTTTTGTTGCCCCAAACCCGCCTGTAGAAGGACATGTCCGACCTATGGCGACCCAACATGGGGTTTTCGAATGGACCACGACAAGCGTCGGCCACGAAGAGGCTGCACGACCTGCACCTAAGGGACGGCACGAGAACTTCAACCCCTCCGGAGGCCAAAGTGGTCCTTGGATCGACGTCTGCACCGTATGGGTATAACAGAGGATGGTGTCGACCCCTATCCCAGGCATCGTGGGGTTTTCGAACGGACCAGAACTTCGGGGCCTATCTTGGGATATACCATGGGGGCGGCGTGGGCCTATAGGCGAGCCAGGACGATTCGCCACTGCTTGACGATCGCGGCCAGGGCGGGATCAGGGCGAGAGGGGCCCGGCAACGACCGAGCCGAAAAAAAGGGCGGCGGGCGCGCCTGTCGCTCACGACCCGGGGGGCTGGCCTCGTCTGCTGGGAGTCCTGCCGGAGTCGTCGTCGCCGTCATCGGCGCGGCTGGGGTCGCCGTTGCGCGTCATCGTTGTGTTCCTGAGTGTCGTTGCCGTCGTACTCCTCCGCCTCATCATCAGCATCAGCATCAGCAGCAGCATCATCGCCATCGCCATCGCCACTGCCATCGCCATCACAATCTTCCAATGTCACCACCACCATCATCATCACACTCATCATCATCATCATCACCATCACCATCAGCTTCATCTTCATCCTCATCATCAGCATCATCATCAGCATCATCATCGCCATCGTCATCATCATCATCGTCATCATCATTAGCAGCAGCAGCAGCAGCAGCATCGTCATCGTCAGCATTATCATGATCATCATCGTCACCAACATGATTATCATGACTATCATCATCATCATCAACATCATCAACAACATCACCATCAACATCATCAACGTCATCATTAACATCATCATCATCATCATCATCATCATCATCATCATCATCATCATCATCATCATCATCATCATCATCATCATCATCATCATCATCATCATCATCATCATCATTTTCATCATTTTCATCATTACCGTCAACCTCAGCTACGCTACCAACACCATCCAGGTCATTATCGCCGCCATCCCCGCCACCACGATTAACATTGTCATCCGAACCAATATCAACATGTTCGCCATATTGGTATGCCTCATCACCGCCATCCTCACTCTCATCATTCTCACCAAAATAATGCTCAACATCATCGCTCTCCTCATCCTCATCGTCCCTCATCCCCCCCCTCCGCGCGCGGTCGCGCACAATAACCTAATGGCGCGGGGGTGGACACCCAAACATCCGCATCCGTAATTGTTGCCCTTGCAGACGTTCATCCTGAATGTTGGCCTATTAGAAACATCCTGGATGTGGTCGGAGCGCGTGGGGTCGGAGGATCGCGCCCTTTCTCCAATGCCTCACCGATACATCGCCGATGCGTCGGCATGGCGAACATCAGGCTCCACATCGAGCCGCATCGCCGATGCATCGGCGATTCGGCGCGATCCTCCCACTCCATGCCTGAGGGCGTAGACGATTGCAATCCTGCCCCAGGGCCCTGGACATCATGTGTTCCTGTCCCTCGTGGGCTGAGGGGCGCGGATTGGAGCAACGGATCGAAGGGTAGATCCTCTTGAAGACTTGGCCGAAAAGGTTTGATCGAAATCGCATAGACCCGATTGGCCGACTTACCGACCGAAAAGAAGGAGGGGGAGGCCCAACATGACCCTCAAGGAAACGTGCCCCCAGAGGGTCGTCGCAGGGCCCAACCTGACGCGACGGCGGGACGGAGACAACTACATCCTTGGCAACGGAATCCCCGAAGCAACTTGCTCGATAATGACATGGAATGCCATGGGAGAGCCTGTACCACAGCATACTATACTGCGCACCTGTACTACAGGCCACTGGGCGACGCACTACTAGCCTGCAGTCGATTAGCCTCGACTAACATATGTACTACACCACACACTGCATACCATACATTAAGGTGCCTGGGGCACACAAATTACTATTCACAAATCCGAGGATTCTCCATATGCGCACATGTTTCTTTGATGGTCGCTTCCCCCCACACTGCCCATATGTTCCAATATGTTCCTGGGAGTCGAAAGTTGATTGTGTCGGTATGTGTTTTCTAATCCTGGTAAACATGTGTGAATATACACATGGAAAGTGCGTGCCCAGACTCATTGGTGCCTGACGCAACACCCATCCACGAAGGAATAACAACTGAAACTGCCATCGTCGGGGGGGGGGGGGGCGCGCCAGACCTGGACCGCCTGGGCCCCAGAGCTCTCGCCCGCAGGCCTAGGGAAAACGTCCCCAGGGTGGGGAAACAAACCTTTCTCGAGCAGGGGGTCGGTGAGGGGGTCTGACGGATCCGCCGCGTCAGCGGCCTCAAGAACTTCTCGGTCGATCAACTCCGATCGCAACGAATCGAAAGCAGGGCAACGCCAGAGCCTGCGAAAAGGCGTGTCACCGTGCTGCCCGCGCATCGCACAGCGATCGTCTGCCAGCTGGTAACCCGCGCTTACCGCTCTGCTGTTGGTCCAGAGAGCGTCACACGCGAGGCTTCTAATACACCCTTTCTCGAGGGCCGAAAACCGTTTCGATCGGAGCTGATTGCGAACGATATCGTAGTACAAACGATCGTATGGCAGGCAAACTTAGCACAGGGCTCGCGTTCGAGCTGTCGAAGCACAGCGGCCCTGAGGAAACTCTTGAGCAACGCGGGCGAGACCGTCGACAGCTGGATTCCATCACCGAAGCCCGAGATCAACGTCACGAAGTTCGACACCTTCCATCCTATCCGAGCTAACGATAGTCTCATAGCTGACAACGGTCCGCACACCTGTCGCCAGGTGGGCATCTTACTGTTAAAAACCTGCTCCCATGCTTGCCCCAGCACAGGATGCGATAAAGCATAGGCGTAGGAGCGGGTCTGGGATGCCCACACCTCCTTACTGTATCTGATGATAGGGGGACACAGCGGCACTCCAGGTAGGGCCTTCGTTAAGGAGGAGGGTGGAGGTGAGCGAGCGGGCTCCAGCCCTGGGGCGCAAAACGTTGCCCGCTGCCCTCCGAATTTTACCGAGCTCGAAATCAGAGGTTCCATGAACCTCCGCTCCGTAGAAGGACCCCAGGGAGAGCACCAGACACCCAAATCCTCTTGCTATACTTCCCCAGACTACAAGACATACGGACCAGCTTTTTGGTGGTAGCTTCGAGGTGAGACACTCTGAGCTTAAGTTTGGGGCTCCTTTTGGCGGCCCTCCTGGGCCTGCCAGCGGCGTCGTCGATGCCCGGGTTGACAGCGCTGTCCGTGGGTCTGCCCGCGAGAGGCCCTAACAAGTCAATCAACTGCTTCTTAACCTCTTTGCTGGAAGTCACGAAGGCGGCCCTGTCGCGCGATATGTCGCATCCCATCTCCTCTACTATGGCCTTGCGCAGGCAAGTAGAGGCAACCTTCAAATTGCTGACCACCTGCGCGGCAGTGCCCGTGCTAGAGACTGCGCTATCATCTATATACTGGTCGAGCTGCGTGCGGGGGGGAACTCGATTTTGTCGAAACTCTCGATGCAATAAGCTTTGACGTACGACGCGGCGAAACTGCATCCCGCGATGACCCCACTCACCGCGTAGAAGGGCCCCAACGCATAGCTACCCATACACATAAACCTCGCCCCGCGGTACGCCGCGATCGATAGCCTATACAGCACGGGGGGGAACTGAAATCGCTGACAGAGAAATTCCAACCGTTCCAGAGAGATGCCTTCGTAGAACTTCGTCATGTCCCAGAGCAAAGTCCCCGAACACAACCCTTCGGAGTTAGCGGTATCGGATTTCAGCATCTGCCTCCAGACCACGTCCGTGGCGGAGGCGAACGATCGGCCAGCAAAGTAGGGCCGAGCGAAAGCGACCTCCCACTGTTGGGCGCCAATGCGACGGCATCTTCCCCACAGACGGTATAAGGAGCAGAACCACCCAGTCGGCCTCCAGCCGCCGTTGGGTTTCATGAGTAAAATCACCTGAGCGAGCTGGACTTGCAACGGCAGGCGCGAAATGGACTCCATTATGCTGATCATCATGGAAACCACTTGTGAACATTGGTCTGACATCCACGAATAGTGTCTCATATGAAATCCGCCCATCGCGCACGCCGTTCGGGTCGAGTATGTCCTAGAGACCTCTCTTAAGAAATCAACTTCGAGCGGCGGGAGGGGCTCCAAAACCGTCGGGCGGTCACTCACGTCAGGCCTGGGTCCGGCCCCCCAGAATTTAGGAAACGACGACGCTTGGTTTTGTGTTTTTTTTTTTGCGGAGGGCCAGGGGGTCCGACATCGCGATCCCTGCCGCAGACAGGGCGGTGGACGCCTTCCAGCCCGCCACGGGCTTTCTGGCCAGATGCGCGCTGCGACCCCCTTTTTTCCGATGTTCTTTAACAGCCACTCCTTCCAGGATCTAGCAGCCTGGCTCCTGGCGCCTGGCCCAAGTCAGTGAGCAAATCGGAATCGAGGGCCTCGTCGGCCTCATTAACCTCCGTGTTGCGGGGGTCGTCGTAGCCGACGGCGCAAGACGTGTCCTGCCTAAACATGGCGTCGACTCTGACGGTCGCGCCGTTTCTGATATATGTTCGGTAGCTGTGTGCGGTAAAAAGTGGGGACGAGAGATGCCAACCATCTGTTGACATCTGAGAAGCAACTCAGAGTGCGGGCCCAGAAATTTGACCAGGTCCCCTGGAGGGTCTCCAATTAAACGAGCGCGCTGATGGGCCTCTGGGGAACCAAACCCGGTGCTTCTCCACTGTCTGAAGGTGCTCGTCAGCCATTTGAGCCCGAAGCGCTCAGGGCGCTTGCACCCCTGGGGGGGGGGGGTCACGAAACACAGAGGCCCATTTCAGCTTGGGCTTGCGCCCACGCGCTCCGCACATAGGCAACTTAGAATGAGCGACCTCGGCCACCTCATACTCAGCTAACTTCCCCCAGAGGCAGTAGAGGCGAGTCAACTTTTCCTGGAATCCCACGGGCGAGGACCCAGGAACCAGCTCGCTCAGGACATCGCCTCCCGTCCCGAGAGCGCGTTTCCAGGAGGGGGGGGGGGGGGGGGGGGGGGGGCCTACGGGGCGCTCAGAGGGGATGGGGGGGGTGGGGGGGGGGGGGGGGGGGGGAAGGGGGGTTGTCGAACACCAAAGCTTGCAGGGAAGCCGCGCGTTCATGCAGCTCGAGTTGGACAGGCAAATGCGGCGTGATGTTCGAACCGCTTTGGACCGAGACATCCTTGACAGCCTTGGCGAGGCCCTTCGAGTCCACGAAAAAATCGATCAACTTCATCCCGCCCGTGGTGGAGAAGGTGCCGCCACATGGCGGAGAGATGAGCTGCCTCGAAAAACGTTCATGGATGTCCTGGAGGCTGCCGACTGCGCCCAAGATATCCAAGTTACGATCGGTGAGGCCCTCGGAGCAATACAAGTACACCGAGACTAAAAGAGCCCGAAGAGCTTCATCCCCAGGAAGATGAATGACGCCCGCGACCGCCCTGGACGAAACAACTTCTGAGTTGGGGTTGGGCAAAGGGTGCGAGCCGAGGAACTCGCGACCGAGCATAGCAACACCGCCTAAGCTGCCCTCGCCCTCGCCTGGATGAGCAGGAGAGAAAATCCCCTTTCGTCCGTTGCGCAGGCACCGGGCCTCCGCAGCTTTACACGACTCGCTGGACACCAGATGGCGCTCTTGGATGGCCACGGCATGGGCCTGGGCCCCCAGGGGCCGTTCGTTGCACGACCCCCGCGGCGTGGCGTTCCAAGTTTCAAACTTCAAGCAAAACTGATCCATGGACGGGGAGTCGGGCACCTGGAAGAACTCAAAATTTGACCCGACGCCAACCCGAGCAGCAACTAAACTGTCGCGGATCTCAAAATCTCGGCCTGCAGGAGGCCCGTCCTTGGAAGGTGAGAGTTTGGGAAGGTAGTGCTGGGGCGTTTGGCCCCCCGCCGCCTCCTCCTCCAGAGGAGCGAACTGCCTGGCACTAGGCGGCGGGGGGCTGAACATTGTCCTGTCCAGGCGGGGCCAGCGGTGTGCAGAGCGCTCGACCGGCGCGCTGGCGCACGTCGCTACTGCCTGAAGCCGCTGCTGTAGTTGCCGTAGGCGCCGACGTTGGAGGGGCATTCGCCGCTGTGCCCGTTCCTGGCGTCCCAGGGGCATGATCTCCTGGTAGATCGGTTTGGCCCGGCCCGATCCTCCAGCTTCCGCCTCAGCATTTGCTTCGACCTTACATTTTTTTCTGAAGGCGGCCCATGCGTTCGTTGTGCGATTTCTTGATCTCGTCCACCGACTGCGGACCTTGGCGAACAACTGCTTGGTGATGTCCGCCAGCTGGCCTTCGAACAAGGACTTGCGCTTGTTGAACTCTTCCAGATCGGTGACCGACCACTCACACTCCCCGTCCAAGCCGAGAACTCCTTCACCGTAGTCGATGGCGATGGCCCCTTCCTTGCCGTCAAGGATGTCTCGCAAGCGCAGAGCTCGCTGTACAGGAGCAGGAGCGGGGGCCACCACCTCATGATGGAGCTGGTCCACCAGCCTCTTGTGCTCCTTATCCGCCTCGTCCAGATCGATATTGAACTTCTTCGCTGCCTCGACGCAGTTCGAGTACCATGTGCGATCTCGTTCGATGTCTGACAACTCTTTGTTGAGCTTGGACTCAAGGAGCTTGACTCGAAATCGGGCCTGTTCTGCCTGCTTCTCCAGTGGCTTGGCTGGAGTGGGCTTCTCGCTGGCGGACCTCTTGGCGATCCATCCACGGTAGTGCGCCGCCGCGGCTGAGTCACCGAGCTTCTCCGCCAGCTGGAGCAGCTGCTGGACGTCTCTTTGCTGGCCGACTCGGGCACCGCCACAGGCGGCGGGGGCGCTCGGGGGGGTCCCCGTTGCCATTCCCCGCGTGGTGGGGCCGCTTCAGCAGGCTGCACGTCCACCCGCTCCCTCTTGCAATGCTTACAGTACCAGAAACTGAGCAGGTTCTTAGCGCAGCCGCAATCTGAGTAGCTGCACTTCCACATCTTGCGATTGCCGTTCGTACCGATGCGCGGCCAGCGCTCACGGTTGGCCTCCCGCGGAGCGAGCTTGGGAGGCGGCACCATCGCGGGCACTGCAGAGGAGGAATGACTGCCGAGTCGCCTCTCGCGACACGAGGAAACTTACACGCCAAAATCACCCGAGCCTGCCGCACGGCTGCGGACAAACTCGAAGCCTCGCGGCAAGGTTTCGAACTTGAGCCAGCATGGCTACGGAGAGGAGGACGAGGAGGAAAACTGAGGAGCAGAAGGAAGAGCAGGAAGAGGAGGAGGAGGAGAAGGAGAAAGAACAGGAAGAGGAGGAGGAGGAGGCGAAGGAGGAGGAGAAAGAGGAGGAGGAGGAGAAAGAGGAAGAGGAGGAGGAGGAGGAGAAAGAGGAGGAGGAGGAGGAGGAGGAGGAGGAGGAGGAGGAGGAGGAGGAGGAGGAGGGGACAGGAGCAGTAGCAGAAGGCGAGAGAAAAGAGAGGCAGGACAGTGAAGAAAGCCAGGCCGTTTCCCCCTGCTCCTGCTCCTCCGGGTGCTTCCTGCCTCCCCTCATGCTGCCCAGTCATGTTGTTTCTCCTTCCCTTCACCTTCCCTTCCTCCTCTTCCTCCTCCTCCTCCTCCTTCACCTCCTCCTCCTAGTGCCTCTCCTCCTCCTCCTCCTCCTCCTCCTCCTCCTCTTCCTCCTCCTCCTCCTTCTCCCCCTCCTCCTACGGTCGGGGACCTTTGGGCAGCGCGTCGCGGCGGTGGCCACGGCGACACGCCATGCCCAGCGAGCGGGTGGCGTGTCGCTCGGCTCCTGGGTGCGGGAGGCAGGGAAACGCGCGGGACGTCGACGCCTGGGGAGCGCGACGTGGATAGCGGCTTTACGTCGGGCATTGTCCCTCTACAGGCGGAGATCCTTGCTGCTTCTTTCAACGACAAACAGGTGGCGATTTCTCTAGAATCAGAATGGTTGGAACATGTTTGAACATGCTTTGACTATGTTTGATGCCTCCTCCAAACACCGCCTGTGGGAGGACATGCCCGACCTAACCGGATCGCGTGTCGCGCCGAAGCGTGGGGGGCCAGGACCGGCAGCGCGACGCGCCGAGGCACCGTCCCTGGCCGCAGTGCTTCGCGAACGTCGAAAACCAAACGTCTGCATACACCCTGCGAAATGCTTTAGAAATCATGGGTTAAGAAATTCATAGTCTCAGAATTGGAATAAAAACCCAGAACGTCTATCAAAATCTTAGGATCTGCATTGAAACATTAAGAATAATCGAGACTCTGGCCGAAAACTTTGGTTTTCTTAAGCATCGCCTAGAGTGTAGGCTTAGGTCGGGCATGCCCTCCTACAGGCGGGTTTTGGACGACAGGGAAAACAGACCCAGAGCATATGAACAAAGCTCAAGCATACGCAACACATCGTCCCCGACCTACTTTCGGACTAGTTTTGAAAATTCCTGCTGTAGAGGGACACGCCCGACTTACCCAAACGCACAACAACTATTCGAGCTCCGCGCGGGCTTCTTGGGGCGGCGCCGGAAGCGCCGCAAAGGGAGCCCAGCGCCGATCCCAAGAGACAGGAAGCCACGTGCGAGCCCTACCCCACCACCCAGCGACTTCTGAGGGGGGAGGTGGGGCTCACTTCGCTCGGGGGGCGCCCAACGAAGTGAACCACATCTCCCCCCTTAGGAATCGTGGGGTAGTGGGGTAGGGCTCGCATGTGGTCGCGGCGGTCCCGGAACGAGCGGCTCTCGTCCTCGTTGGGCGTTGCGTCATGCAGGGGCGATGACAATGGGGTGGAGGAACGGAGCGTGCATCTCCGGGGCCCCTTCAAGGCACGTTCAGTGCACTGTTCTCCCCCCCATTACGTCGCCCCCCCGCTGCGCAGCGCCTGCCCCCGAATGCGTTCTTGGCGGGCCCTGGGCCCGCAAACGGCCCCCCAAGAGGCAGAACGGGGTCTCGAACCCAGCGCCTCGCACCTCGCCCCGCACCTCCTGCTCGCCAGAGCCGAGGCTGGGCCGCCTCAGGCCTGCAGACGGCTCCAGGGCTGGCGCGCGGCGGTGGTCCCGGAACGAGTGGATCTCGTCGTGGTTGAGGACGATGCCATCCGGGGGCCGCGGCGTCAGGAGGCGACCGCCAGGCAGGTCCGGCGAGGAGTCCTGGCCGAGTCGGCGCCGTCGCGCTGTCCCGGCCTGCCCCTCCGGGGAGCTGAGTCCGCTCCTCTGAGTCTTCGCGTTGCGAAGCAACCAAGACGCGATGTTCCTTGATACGCGGCCTCTGGGGGCCCTCACTGGGCCCCAGGACAATCAAAAACGGCGCAGGATGAAAAAGCGGCCCAAGGAGGACCACGTATTGAACACATCAGGGCATCGCATGTCCGGGGATTGACGACGACGAGTCGAGGATGGCTTCGTCAACTTCCTGCCCCTGGGGCAGATCGGTGGTCATCTTAGCAGTCCGGCCGATGGACTAATTTGTTTTTTGTTTGCGGAGGCTCAGCGTCGAGGATCGCTCTGTCAACTTCCTACCCCTGGGGAAGATCGGTGGCCATCTTAGTTGTCCTGCCGATTGAGTTTTCAGTCGAGGATTGCTCTGTCAACTTCCTGCCCCTGGGACCGATCGGTGGCCATCTTAGCAGTCCTACCGATGGAGATTGTTTGCGGAGGTTCAGCGTCGAGGATGGATTCGTCAACTCCCTACCCCTGGAGCAGATGGGTGGTCATCTTAGCAGGCCTGCTGATGAAGCTTATTGGAGGAGGCTGAGCGTCGAGGATGAACTCCCTACCCATAGGGCAGATTGGTGGTCATCTTAGCAGTCCTGCCGATTGAATTGTTTTTGAGGAGGCACGGCGTCTAGGATGGCTTCGTCATGTCCCTACACCTGCGGTCAGAGGAAATTTGAAGCTGACAAATGGGCATCGCTGCAAGCGTTTTCTTGCACAGTCGTTCAGGTCCAGATCTGCCAATGTTCTGCGAAAGAGAAAAGCTCAAAGAAAAAACGCCCAGAGTCCAGTCTAGATGTGTGGCTTTCTTTAACGAAAGCTGTAATCCAGGAAGGCTGACGATAACAAAAAAAATATTGGTGTAAACCCCCTGAGCAGTCTTTCGATGGAGCCGACGACGACGACGAGGACAAGGAGGAGAAGGAGGAGGAGGAGCCGAGCGAGAGTCGCGCTCTCTCGTCCGTGGTCCTCCCTCCCTCCCTTCCGCCCTCCCTCCTCTCCCGCTCATTCCCCTTCCCTCCTCCCCCCTGCCTCCCCCCCCCCCCTCCCCTCCCCCCTCCCTCCTCCCCCCTCCTCCTGCCTCCTCCGCCACTCCCCTCCTCCCTCCCCTTCCCCTCCCCTTCCCCTCCCCTCCCTCCCCTTTCCCCTCCCCTTCCCCTCCACTCCCCTCCCGTCCTCTCCCCTCCCATCCCTCCTCCGCCTCCCTCCTCCCGTGAGAACGCACGCGCGAAGCCCCTCGGCTAACACAACCTCCCCCTCTCCCCTCCCTCCTTCCCCCCTCTGTCCCCTCCCCCCTCCTCCCCTCCTCCTCCTCCTCCCACCTCCTCCTCCTCCTCCTGCTCATTTTCCTCCTCCTCGTCCTCCTCGTCCTCCTCGTCCTCCTCGTCTTCCTCGTACTCCTCGTCTTCCTCCTCCGCCTCCTCGTCCGCCTCCTGCTCTCCTCCTCCTCCCCTCGCTCCTGCCTCCTCCTCCTCCTCCTCCTCCTCCTCCTCCTCCTCCTCCTCCTCCTCCTCCTCCTCGTCCTCCTCCTCCCTCCTCCTCCTCCTCCTCCTATCCTCCCTCCTCCTCCTCCTCCTCCTCCTCCTCCTCCTCCTCTCCTCCTCCTCCTCCTCCTCCTCCTCCCCTCCTCCTCCTCCTCCTCCTCCTCCTCCCCTCCTCCTCCTCCCCCCCCCACCCCCCCCCCCCTCCTCCTCCTCCTCCATCCTCCTCCTCCTCCTCCTCCTCTCCTCCTCTCCTCCTCCCTCCTCCTCCTCCTCCTTCCCCTCCTCCTCCTCCTCCTCCTCCTCCTCCTCCTCCTCCTCCTCCTCCTCCTCCTCCTCCTCCTCCTCTCCCCGCTCCAGATTCGGATGAAAATCTTGAAGCTGGGATAAGGTGTATTCGTTAAGTGAAAGCTAGATGAACTAATGGCAATAACGATGGATATGTTTTACTGTTCGGGTGGCTGGAGCCAACGTGCGAACGACAGTGCACTCACTCATGGCATTCTTGGTCTGCTACAGTACACGATTTCCTATGTATAAGACAGCAGGCCTAACTGGGTCAATTTATAACAATATCAAATGTGGCACTAATTTCTTTAGGACATGTTGGATGACCATAGAAAAAAAACATGAACCCCTCTCGGTTTTGCTGCAGTTCGGTAGCGTTTTCAAAGAAGGAGCGAAACGAGAGACGGAGAGAGAGATACCTATAAAACCGCCCTGCGGGGGATAAGGAGGCTTGGGAGGGGGACTATAATCAAATGCCCATCCTTACTGGCCTCCAGCATGTGACATTGACATCATATCTGTCATTATCTCTGTCTCTCTCTCTCTCTCGCTATCTCTCTCTCTCTCTCCCTCCCTCTCTACCAGAGTCTCCCTCCACCACAATGATGATCGCGATGACGATAAAGTCCCACTACCTACCTATCCACCAATCGACCTATGTATTGAATTGGGTTGGATGAGTTTGATTGGGTGGGAAAGTATAAGATGGGACAGTATGGGTTGGATACGAAAATATGGATTGGATTGGACAAGATGGATTGGATAGGATAAGCTGGCTTGGATACGAAAGCCCGCCGCAGGCGCCGACAAACATGAATTGATGGATTGGGCTGGGTGGGTTGGATTGAATGGGATAGGATGGATTGGATAGAATAGGATGGGTTGGATATGACTAAATTGATGGATTGGGTTGGGTGGATTGGATTGGATTGGGTGAGACAGTAGAAGATGCGACAAGATGGGTCGGATAGAATAAGATGGATTGGGTTGCGCAAGACGGGTTGGATCATACAACCTGGATTGGATAAGAAAGCCCGCCGCCGGCGCCGAAAACAACGAATTATGAAATTACTGGCCTGCGTTATCGCTGGGACGCCCGGGACACCCGGGACACAGCCCGGCCCAACTGGGACACCTCCCGGCCACTGGCGGACGGGAAACGGACTTTCGCTCCTACTTCGGCTTAGCTACAGGAGGATCACGCGCAGCTTCGCCTCGCCCGCGCGCGCGACACGAACGCGAAACCGAAACCGATTTCCCTGCGAGGGTCTCCTTTCACTGCGATCTCACCCCCCAACCTTCGATATAGCAGCCCTAGACAAGCCAGAGCTGATTTATCAAATCCACCATCAAATCCACCACGGCCACCATACGTATATGTATATACACCGAAATAACTCTGATAGCGGTAGACGTTTTTGGTGAACACAATATATCTGTGAAATCATACGTCGGTGAAGTCGTCGTACTTTCTGAAATCTCTATGATGTATTCGTCGTAGTCTGTGGTATGCAAGGTCTGAACCGAGTTGGTCACCGCGAGCCGGCGCCCCCTCCAACCGAACCGCCCAATCCGGGGCCCAAGCCGCGCCGGCTGAAACTGAACTGGCCGATTCGAACCGAACTGGCCAATCGAAACCGGCCCGAAAGTCGAACCCGAAGCCGCGGAACCGAAGCGGCCACAACGGGCCTAATCCAAAAGCCCAAAAACGAAATCAAGAGATCGTTTGAACGCAATCCCCCGGGACTGTTTTAAAGAACGGCCGCGTTTTTTTAACAGTCGCCGGGCACTGCTTTAAAGAAAGCTACTATTGATATGTTCTGTCGGTGATGGTGATTTTCCTCTGCGATGCCACGGCGTCATGGAAGCGACCCTGGAGGCACCCAGCGGCTCCAGACCGAGCCCAGCAGCATGGGCAGCTGGGGCGCTGGAGCATCCCAACTGTTCGCATTAGCCCACATGCTGCCAGCGGCCGATTGCTCGTGGCCGCCAGCAAACCGCGACTGCGGCATCGGAGCCTCAGCTGCAGGCGGCGTCTCAGCCGCAACTGCGGCGCCCTGATCTCTCCGCCAACTGGGGCCCCATCCACCCCAGGAATCCCAATCATTGCAAGAGCTCCCCTGCGAACGCCGCGAGTTCCAGCCGCCCCACCTGCTCCTCTGCCAGCGGCCCCGAGCCTCCTCCTGAACCGCTACTGCGGCTTCAAGGCCAGGTGGTTGGTCATGAGCCACAGCCCATTCGCGTTTGTCCTTGCCGCCCCAGTGGCCTCTGCCGTGGCCGCCCTTGCTCTGGCCTTCGCCGCCTTTGCGCCCGTCGTTTTCGCCCTGGCCCCCTCTCGCGGGGCCCCCTTCCGGTGGCCGCCGTCCTCTTTGCCTCCTTTTCGGCTCCCCCAATTCCCCCCTTTTCTTTGCTTCTGCTTAAGGGGCCTCTCGGCTTGTTTCTCAAGCGACCTGCGTGGCTGGTTGTGCGTATACACCAGTAAAGGGAAGTGGGCTCCGTTGCGCGCCTTTTCCCATTGAGCCTTTTCCAGATGGCGACGTTGACCTCCTTCTGCCGCGTCCTGAACGGGCACGGAACCCACTCTTGTTCTCGATGCCTCCGCGACTGCGGATTCCTCTTGATCTCAGCCATCTTCGTCTCGAAGTCCGCGGCTGCGGCGACGGACGCGTCCGGTGGCGTCAGAAAAGGACGCAACTTATCCATATGGTTGAGGCTCTTGTGCAAGTATGTTTCCAGCTGCTTTCCAGGCCCATTCGCGTGCTCGAACTCGAAGAACTCGTCGTTCTCGTGGTGCGCGAGGAAGCCGCCGTTGCCCTCGTGCTGGACGCCCAGGCCTTTGGCGAGTCGGCATTCCCCAGGCACGTCGACGAACACAATCGCCATCCTGTCGGCCCTGGGCGCGCCGCCTGCGGTCTTCCGAGGGGTCCACGCGCCCGCGTCGACGGTGGCATTGTTGAGCCAAAGCGAACATGCACATGTTGAAATCCCCCATGCACACTTGGACCACGTGATTCTTGACATAATCTGCGAGCCAATCGTAGTAGCCGTGCACTTTTTTTTTTTTTTTTTTTTTTTTTTTTTTTTTTTTTTTTTTTTTTTTTTTTTTTTTTTTTTTTTTTTTTTTTTTTTTTTTTTTTTCTCTTTTTCTCTCCTCTCTCCGAAGTCGCC